GAATCACGTTTTCCCGCCAAAACCGGAAAATCACGTTTTCCCGCCAAAACCGAAAAAATCACGTTTTCCCGCCAAAACCAGAAAATCACATTTTCCCGCCAAAACCGGAAAATCACGTTTTCCCGCCAAAACCAGAAAATCACGTTTTCCCGCCAAAACCGAAAAATCACGTTTTCCCGCCAAAACCGGAAAATTATGTTTTCCCGCCAAAACCGGAAAATTATGTTTTCCCGCCAAAACTGTAAAATTACGTTTTCCCGCCAAAAACAGTAAAATTACGTTTTCCCGCCAAAACCGAAAAAACACGTTTTACCGCCAAAAATGAGAAATTACGTTTTCTGACAAAACCGTAAAATTATATTTTCTGTCAAAATTGTGAAACTACTTTTTTTTCTATCAAAAACCGTAAAATCTTGATTTTTCACAAAAAGTTTTTGTCAAAAACTATGTTTTAAATCAAAATTATGAAATTGTGTGTTTTGGAGGCCCATGGACACCCATTGTCCATTTGGTCTTTGACCAGTTAGACCATAAACCAATTGGGTTTTTATACAATTGGACCATATATGAATTGGGCGCGTCCATAGCCCGTCCAAAATAGATTGGACAGGGCTAGCCCATGGTCGGCCCGCCCAATTGACACCTCTATTTGTGAGATGCCTTTCTTCTTCTTTGCCTATAAGAAACAGAATTGTCAATTACCCCCAAACCACACTTATGAACACAAAGAAAGAAACAGAGAGGAGAGAGTGAGTAAAAGTTTTGTAGATTTCTGATCAGTGAGGTTAAAACAGGCTACAAAAATGTCGTGAGAGTTTCAAAGGGGCATGATTGCAACCCAACCATGTACAAAGCTGAAGCTAACTATGTGAAGTACAGTAGTCCCAGCTCATATTTTGGTATCGGCTCTAAGCCTGACTTCACATAATAGGCTCCCGCGGTGTACATGGTGGTTACCAGTCTACCACTCTGTTTGGCATCTATCCCGTTTGTGTACACGGTTCTAGCTATTTATTTGCTTTTGCAGTTTCATGCCACAATTACAAGAAGAGCTCGTACATCTAATCAATATCAGCACAGCGTGTGAATACAGAAAGGTTATGACGTACATGATCTACATCCCATCTTCGTCTCTGATTATCTTGTTTTGGAATGTTATGTTACGACTTGCTCTTCTCTGACAACTAACTCTTACCCACTAGAATGTTAAAGACCATTGCAGGAGAATGTTAAAGACCATTGTAGGAGAAGTAAAAAAACATTCACTTAAATTGATAAAGGATGAACTATGGTCTCGCCTTAATGTCCTAACTTAGTTTAGCAATCTCATAACATCTTAACGCCGTTTAGTCATCTCACATTCTCTAAGACTAAGCTCATTTTATAGATAGTCTGAGCTCTTGGGTTAGCTTATCTAGTTATCCTTCTCAGATCAGTTTTTAAAATACTACCATGACATAGACATGCATATGTGATCCAATTAGGAGACACAATCACATATTGGACAAGAACATTGCACCTTCACCATTTGATAACCATATTGCTGAACCATCACATATAAATTACTTTGGAAGAAGCTTCCCATCCAGATTTCAGACAAACCAAAAAAATCTCCAAAGAGTGTAAGAATCTCGTCTAAGCAAAAGACAGTATAAGGAGAGTAAGAGTACAGAGAGATCTGAGTATTAGAATCGCCTTGGACGCTCCTCCGCTACATTCACTCTGATTGCTCTACCCTCCATGTTCTGCAAATACAGACACAAAGTTAGATCGAATGAGAGATGATCACAGCAATCATGTAACCTGCATTAGAATAATTATATGAGGAGGAAGGTACCTGTCCATCAAGAGCAGCGATAGCGTCATTGAGTTCAGTCTCGTTAGACATTGTGACAAACCCGAATCCACGTGAACGACCTGTCTCACGGTCATAAACCACACGAGCTTCCACCACCTTTCCATGCTCACTGAAAACTTGTTCTAGACGACCATTGTCCACATCCCAGGGTAGGTTTCCAACATAGACTCTGAATGCAGGCTCGTATACCCTAGGTTGACGTTCTGGACGTGATCCTCTTGGAGCTGCCTTGTTTACTGTCAAAAGCCGTCCATTCAGATCCTGACAAAACATGAAAAGAACCAACAACACAGATGCTCAGTAATGTTCACACAATACACAATCAGAAGTTACAGATTCCCTAACTCCAATTAGAGCAGAAAGATGAAAACAATGGTTGGATTAAGAGCAAATAACGCCAATCATGGGCCACAATAACACATGGTGCTACTTGAAAAATGCTTGTTAACATATAAACTTACATAACGGTTGAACTTCTCAACAGCTGTCCCAGCTTCTTCTACGGTACTCATTGTCACAAATCCAAATCCACGACTCTGATCGGTTTCCCTATTGTAGATAACCTACAACCAGAAGAATCCAAATAACAAGTTATGATTAACTGAACAAAAGTGAGAGCTAGAATAACATGAACTACACAAAAATACATCATCTAATGTCAAGAGATACGAAATCAATCCACATAATTCTAATTACTACAACAACTCTCGCGAACCACATATGCTCCAAACACTTAAAAGCCAAAAACTTCACCTTATCTCATCCATTTTGACTTCACATTTGATTCAAACTGTAATGCAGAGACCATGCATGACCTTTAAAGCAATGCATAATACACAAAAACGTATCAGCTGAAGCTTATATGAACTCAATCCACATAATTCTCAACACTCCAACAATTCTCTCTAAACCAAATATGCTCCAAACACTTAAAAGCCACGAACTTCACTTCATCTCATCCATTTTGACTCACATTCGATTCAAACACCAATACACAGAAAACACAACAAGACCTTAAAACCAACGCATAACGAACAAAAACTCATCAATTAAAGCAAAGTAAGGAAAGAAGGAAGCAAAGCACCTCAGCGATTTCAACAGTACCAGCTTGCTCAAATAGCATAGCCAAGGCTTGACTATCAACATCATAAGCCAAATTCCCAACGAACAGCTTCGCTTCTTCCGGTGGCTCCTGGAAATCACCACCACCACCACCTTCACTCACATCTCCTTCCTCTTCCAAGAAAGTGGCTTCAGGCTCGTTCTCCTCAACGGCGACCGAAGCGCTCACATCTCCGCTTCCCTCCCCGTCTTGCTGAGCCCAATCAGAAGTCTGTGCAACAGAGGAGATAAAGGTTGGTTTTTTGAGGTGGGTTTTGGAGTTGAGAGAGAGGGAGAGGTGGGAGAAGGAGAAAGGGAGGTTAGTTCGTCCGGTGAGGAGAGAGAAGTTTGAGAAGCAGCGAGTTTTTGAGGAGTGGATGGTAGTGGAGAGTGAAGGGTGGGAGAGAAAGGTGGAGTCAGCCATGGGTAAAGGCTTTAAGGTTGAGGTTAGTATTGAAGAAGACATTAGAGGATTGGGAGAGATAGGAGGAAGGAAGGGTTTTAGAATTGTGGGAGAGAGATAGGGATAAGGATTAAGGAAGGGCCTATAGAGCAAGACAAAAAGAAAACCAATACCAAAGTGATTTTTGAACAAATGTTATAAAAATGTTTTAGAAGAAAGAAAAAATTACTACAGTTTAAACTCTATAAACTAATAATGTTAGAATTTTAATATTTCATTGATTTATAAAATTATTAGTTTACAAACAAAAAAATTCCATATTTATATATTTTGAGTTATGTTTTATGTAAAAGTAAGAAACATATTTTATTTTATGGTATATGTATTGACTAAATTTTTATAATTCAAAAAAAAATATTGTTCTTTCTTTGATTATTTTTTGTATAAAACTATTTATCGTAAAAATAGACTATTTTAGGTGTAAAACAATAAAATAACATCAAACTATTTTGATGTGTGTAAAAAAGTTAATTTCACTATGAATAAAAAACAAACTATACAATATATTGTTTATGTTTATTTAAGTTAAAAAAATTTGTTGAGTAGCCTTTATAGTCATTGTTACTCATGGTTCACTGGAAAAATTGAACTTGATACTTGCATTAGCCTTGTAATTAGATCATTCTTCTTTTTTTTTTTCTGTAAGTTAGATCATTCAGTGATGATTATAGTTGAAGATGGAAATGAAAAGGGATTCTATATAACATTATCGGTAGGATTGCAATGCCACTGATGCATATAGATGAAACTCGCCTGAAGCCAATAATATCATAAAAAGTTTGCAAACAAAGTTCAGAAGACATGAAATGTTATTAACTAGTCATGTTTGTTAGGTAAGGTAAGAAGTTCTCAGAATACAATTTGAACGTCACAGAAGATGTACAAACTTCTCATATAACATATTCACTGCTCGAACGTTTCCAATGCATTTCATATGCCCAAAGGCCAAGACTAATTCATTAGCTTGTCAACAACTTGATCTCCCAAATAACAGATTCACTGCTCAAATGTTTCAATCTTTTCCTTCATAGTTGGTATACTTTTCTTCTTTATTTGATTCATATTGCTTCATTTTGGAGTTAGCCCTTGAGGCCTTGACATATGTATTATACTTTGAATATAAATTTTCTTTTCCACAGTACACCATCACGTTTTTTCCTCGACATTAAACCAGTCTCAAGCTGATTCCATTTTATCCTTCAGAATCGATTAAATCGCACTCTGTGCTCTAATAAGTATTTTCTGAGTTTTAAAACCAAAGTTTGGAATTGATCTCTCTACTACAAAGAATATAAAAAGTAGAAGCCTCAAATGCCCTGGATAGCGTGGGTAGTTAAATACCTGACAATTACAACTGAATTAACCGAGCCCTCGTGGACCGCACAAGCTTAACTGACACACATGGCCATTAAAAGTTCCAAAATCATCTTGCTCGATAGCAAACCTATCACCTAGCTATATTTTCATATGTGTTTGGATTTTGGTATAAAAAACAACAATGGGAACATTTCTAACTCCTTAGATAAATAATTTTTATCAGTTAATGACTTGGAGATTCGAACCTGCCACACAATAATCACACCAACTACAACATAATGTTTTGTTGCGACAAGTAAACCATATAATCTTTTTTATTCCTTATTTATTTCCCAACTGAACTAAAATGCTGCACATGTGACATGACATGGCCAAGAAAAAGTGTATTGTATTGGTTAGTTATACGGAGAAAAACAAATAGTTAGTTATTTTAGTTGCTGTAAATTTCAAAATTTGAAAAATCTCCTCAATCAGTGGACAGTAGTCAACACGAATATGAGACCAGTCCATGAAAAGTAGGGCTGTCGAGCCACATGCATGATTTTTTCCTAATTTTAAGGGTAATTTTTTTTTTATTTAACCACAATCGATGTGCATCGACCAGAGTGAAAAGTCACAGCTTCGGTCAGACATTGAATGCCAAGAACATCTTTGACCCATAAAAGTTACCCATTTTACAGAACATTCCAAACTTTTAATTGAAATGAAAACACATCATCTGCATTGTAACATTTGTAACTAACATCTCCCTTTATCATGGTGGCCTGGGTGCTCAAATTTGACTTTTGTATCATATCATCATTTTGCAATGGCTTTTTTTTTACTTTTGGAACAATTTTGCGATGGCTCACTACAGACAAACATATCATAAGAGAAATAAACGAGAAGACACAAATTATATTTATATTAATATCAAGATCAACACATCTGCCCTTGTTCCTACAATTTTAACCTAATAAAAGATTCCTTAAAACAGAGAATCCTTACAAGGATCCTAAAAGAAGCAAGCCAGAGGTTGTATTCTCCTTAATTTTAACCTCCAAAAAGAAGAAAAAATCAAAAGAGAGTAAATTAAGGAGTAAGTAAAGTTATTACTTAACCCCCTTAATTGGTGCTTTAATTGCCTTTACTATATAATTTTTTTTTTAATCAGCTAAAAAACCGACACTGAAAACCACCACAATCAGCAACGTGAACCCTTACGGCAATTCAGTGCACCAGAGCCCACCGTCAATGGTCCAACGAGAGAAGAAGGTCGAGCCCCAAGACTCGAAGCCTTGGCATAGCTTGACGAGGCAGCACCACCAGAAGGCGTAAAAAACGCACCGTTTAGCAACAAATCACCAGAAGATCTCCAGTTCCAGCTTTTCCACTCACTCTCTGGCGCGTCCTCGTGCTTAGTCACTTCTTTGCTAAATCTAATATTCGGGGCCACAAATCTATTCCCTTGACTATTGATCGTAGGATTAGCACTTCCACCGATAGCATACATCTCCCAATGTGTGTAGTCATTGTTCACCACATGGAAGTACCCATGTCTACACCTATACACATGACACATCCAAAAATTTAGTCACACATCACAATCACATTTAATTACTAAAACAAAACAAAAAAAGATCAAATATGTTTTTTAATTACCTTGGCATTCTCTGAACAAGACCTTCACCAAAATGGTTAAAAGCAATAGTGATTTGCATATTCTTGTCACGAGCGTAAGTATCACTATGCCCAAGCAACATAACCTTATCATGATGCGTCATGTAATTATTAGACAGAGTAATCGCCGTGGAGCCCATTATAGCATCAATAAGCCCATCATCACAGTTTGACAACGAACAATGGTCAACCCAAACATGACTCCCTCCAAAGATAGACACACCGTCACCGTCCGATATCGTTCTCCACCCGAAATGCCGTGGGGAGCTCCGCACCATAGCGTTGCCACCTGGCTTGCAGTCATGTATATGAATCCCGTGTATGATAATGTTCGTCACGTACTGAATCGTTATACATGGCCCACCAGCTATGTGTACGGACGCGCCACGACCGTCTATGGTCTTGAAAGAGTTCATGATGAGTTCTTCTTTGAGATGAATGGTCATGTCTCGTTGGAAGATGATCCATAACGGCTCGTCTTGAACCACGGCGTGTCTCAACGTTCCGGGTTTGGGGGTCACTGGGTCGTCGTTTCCTGAGTCGGTCACCACGTAGATACGACCGTCACGGCCGCCGATGGCGTTCTTGCCGAAACCTATGGCGCAGTCGGCGAGACGTTGACGGTTTGTCTCCCAGTGTGGGTCGCATCGCCAGCAATCGTCGATGGGGTTGCCTGTGGTGCATGAGAGGTAGCCTAGCTTCCTTCTTGCGGCAACTGATGCATTAATGCTCCTGTAACAGTGCACAACTAACTATATTAGAGACAGTTATTGTTATTGCATTTTTTTCTTAAATTTACAACAAAAAAACAGAGACATTTTGTAAAGTTTGCTTTTTTATGGTCCCATTTGTATAACAGTAAGATGAGACTTTGGTTTCTTTTATAACAATAAGCTGAAAAGTTGGGTTTGAAGTAAAATGTGGTAAGAAGAGAGAAGATTAGTACTTGTGAACTTCTTCGACGACAGATTCTGGGTCTGGAACTGGTGAAGAGAAGATCAATGGAGCATAGAGAAGGAAGGAGACTATGGAGAAAAGGAGCTTCTTTGTCTGCATTTTTACTATCAATACAGAGTAACTAACTCACTCTATCTCTCTCTCTGTTGGATTAAGTGAGAGAAGAGGGAAAAAAGATTTGAGTGGGAATGAGAGAGAAGCTGAAACTTTGGGGGTTTATATAAAAGATGTAAGAAAGGATCTCCGCACTATTTGTTATTGGAATTTTCGGTTTAGGTCCCACTTTTTATTTCTTTTTATATAATAATCCCAAATATAATCCAGTAGATTGCTTACACACGCTACAATTAAAACATTTTGATTAGCTAATTGTTGACATTAAACAAAAGCTACCATTCTAATTAGGTCGAAATGTTAGTACTTTTCAAATAAACTCCACTTGCTATGTTTAGCCGAATAAAAGCAGTATGGGGGTTGGTTAATGATAAGGATCTAAACTTAGTAACCATTATAGTTGATAACAAACAGAGACAAAAAAATTACTCTGTTTATATAATGTCAAACCAACCAAAAAGTACGAGTTTATAGCAATGTCATTCAAAAGAATTTAACAAAAGTTTGAGATGTTCTGTAAATCATAAGTTCACAACCTAATATGAAGATGCATATAAAAACAGAATATTACTTGTCTATGCATTTAGTGAGAAGTTCTTTTTATTTCTCATGCTTTACCTTTTGCATTTCATTAGAGTTTACATAGTAGGCTTCAGATATACACACGCCCGTATAGAATCAGTTGCATATATTGCAAAAACTAAAATACATTATAAAGTGTCCATATCAGAACCGTTGATCCTGAACAAAGGCTTTTATTATTCTGAGAACTCACTCTCCAACCATATACTATAACAACATGTTAGGTAAAGATATCAACGAAAAGGGAATACAAACCAACAGAACATGTCAAGTAATCGAGTATCGGAAAACATAGATGGCAAACAACAACAACAACAAGAACAAGAATTATAAAATGAGATGACAACAAAATAATAGTTATATTTACTAAGAAAACTGTCAAAGATAAAAGTTCAAGATTTATATAATTGTTTTCTGAATATATGGTTTTTCTTTGTCAACTATCCATCTAAATTAGATCAAATGGTGTCAAGCGAACCGATTCTTTCAAAGAACATCTATATTTGTCCGGATCTGATCTATATAGAAAAAAATGTAGCCTCTAATACATCAAACTCATTATTGACTATTTAAAAAAAAAATCTTAAAGTGGAAGAGATTGTTGTAGCTATTTTTCTTCATGATTCGTATTGGTGAAAATGACGTGAAAACAGTAACATTTTTGTTCCTTTCACCATATTACATAATACATTCCACTTCTTAATGCACCAATTACGGCAGAGGAATTAGATACTAATATATGCTCTTAAAGTCCTTGGTTAATATGTATTGGTAATGATAGGTTAATGTGAAAAAGCATAAGTGGGACATGTAATGCCTCGTGATTTGCAGGTTTTACGGGATTCCTTTCAATTGTTTAGGTTGGTTATTTTTGACAGTTTAAGCATGCTAGTCTTTGGACAACGTGATCAAACGATACGGTTGGTTAACTAAAGAAGAAAAATCGAGTACTATAAAAAGTAATAAAATAAAAAAAATATCACTTGTTTATACTAGAAAACAGTTCTATAAATATATTATAAAATCTTTATAAATTAATAACATTAGACCATGATATTTAATAATTGAGATATATATATATATATATATATATATATATATATCTATAGAGATATTTATTGTACTGCACTCGATTTGTCATACTAAAAAGAAATGGGAGTATTATGTGAATCAATATTAACACCCTTTTCAAATGCAAATCACATATCAAAGTGAATCACATTATTGAAAAGTTGATCACCGACGAAAATTAGCCTAATGGGCAAAAACTCTTGACTTAGCTCTAACAATTTATATGTTTAAGTTTTGTTGGAAAGATATACTCCGAAAAAGGATAATTTAACATAGTATATAGATTTTCATCCTAAAATGTACGAATTTTCCGTTTCAAAACCTTATAGTTATTTAAAAAAAAAAATTGATCGCATGGTGGGAATCAATCAAGGAGAGAGGCCCGCTGCAACAAGTCTTCACAGTCACTCAACCAACAAGATTTGATAGGAAAGATAAAATTGACAACGACAAAGAAGATTTGAGTAAATCACACAGCACATGCCTCCCAATACTTATTATTGTTTCAAAGGGCAAAGCAGACAACTCTTACATGCGACACTTCCTTTTCCTTTTGTTTATTGTCCGTAAAGTTCGCCGAGAATTTGAACATAAGCATAAACCTTGTGGCATCCACTCATAAATACCATACGTGTCGGTGTCGCATTCCTGCTATCATTTCTAATTTCTTCTTTTTTTCCTAGTTGTGGACCTAAATAATCACTCGTGTTTAACGGAATCTTGATTGAATCCAAGTTCTGGTGTGACTTATTAGAAGGATACTAGTGAGAAGAGATGAAAAAAACAAAATGTTTACGTCTTGTTTTAAAATGGTTTAATTAAATTTGTTTTAGTATTCATTTAACATACATACATCCTGTGTTGAACTGCTAATGTTAAACCTATTGCTTACCTAAGAGGCTAAAACCTTGAAATCAATAACACATTAAATCCATATATCATCAATGTGAAACATGTTGCTATCTAAAACCGTATAGCTTATCACATGCTAGAAAAATAGAGATCTGAATATATATCATCATGAGAAGTTTAACATGCTTCCTCAAACGATATGTTGTCGAGTTCCGTTTGGATAATGCGACTCAGCATTACATGAAAACAATCTTCCTAGAATACACTTTTTCCAACAATCTTCTTTATCAGAGTCCAAAAACTTTAACGAGGAACATAAAATAAATTCCCGAGAGAGCAAGTATTGGGAAAACAATCAGTCAACGTAATGGTCTTTCATCCCCTTAAAAAGAAAACAAAACAGAAAAAAGGCAGCTTCACAAGCAATATGAATATTATTACTATTAAGTTCATTAGGTAAGTCATCAGAATTAGGTAAGCAAGTTAAACGTCTTAAGAACCTAGTGGACCGCTGGGTAAACTGATACATAGTCTCACAATCTGATTATATCTAAAATTAAAGCCCAGTAGTTGATAAAATTAAAATGGAAGAATTCATCAAAACCTGCTTTAGAGGCTAAACCGTATTCAATCCTAAAGTTCTTATTTTTAGATAGTTTAAATAGAGTATTCAACATGTTTATCTGCCCTGTGAGTAATATGATCATGGGCCAGTCCATCGGCAATAAACCAAAAGCCCAAGCTGAGGCCCAGCTGGTGGTTCAACCGCATAAGACAAGACAACGGTCTTCTTCACAAAGCAGAGCCAAAACAGAGTGTACGGCAGAGGCGCTCCAGCTGAGGAACCGTTACGATCCTATCCTCTTGGCGTGTGCTGGATAGTCTTATCCTCCAGCTGTATAGATCTAGATGGTTCCTCAGAGTCTATTTATATCTTTGTAAAAACCCTATTGAAAGATAAGTCGAAAGTTATTATCTTTACAGAAACCATCTTTCTCCTTCATATTCTTATGGTATCAGAGCGTTGTAAGCTTTAACAGGCGTTTCAATGGCGGATCCTGTAAACCCTTACCCTTTTCCGCATAACCTTCATCTTATTAGCTCAGTCACCTTGAAACTTAATGATTCCAACTACTTGCTATGGAAGACTCAGTTTGAGTCACTGCTTTCGAGTCAAAAGCTTCTTGGTTTTGTTACCGGAGCTGTCCCACAACCACCACAGACGCATACAGTGGTCCGCGACGGTCTGAACGTTGAAGAGCCCAACCCACAGTACGAGTCCTGGTACTGTTCCGATCAGCTTGTCCGTTCATGGATCTATGGAACGTTGTCTGAAGAGGTTCTTGGTTCAGTTCATTCACTCGTAACGTCGAGAGATGTGTGGATGTCCTTAGCCGAGAACTTCAATAAGAGCTCTTTAGCGAGAGAGTTTTCACTTCGTCGTAGTCTTCAGTTGCTGTCAAAGAAAGACAAAGCCTTGTCAGTGTATTGCAGGGAGTTTAAAGCCATTTGTGATTCTCTGAGTGCCATTGGGAAACCAGTGGAGGAGTCGATGAAAATTTTTGGCTTCCTTAATGGATTAGGAAGGGAATATGATCCCATCACTACGGTTATTCAGAGTTCTCTGACAAAACTTCCTGCTCCAACGTTTAATGACGTGGTCTCAGAGGTCAAAGGATTTGATGTGAAGCTGCAATCTTATGAAGACTCAAATGCTGCTACTCCACACCTTGCTTTTACTGTCCATCAGAGAGACTTCAAGACTGGTACACCGTCCTACAACCCTCATCATCGTGGTCGTGGAAGGTCAGGCTATACACGAGGTAGAGGAGGATACTCTACAAGAGGCAGAGGTTTCACTCAGCATCAAACCCCATCAACTTCTCAAGGAGAACGTCCAACTTGTCAGATTTGTGGGCGTGTTGGACATACAGCTTTGAAATGTTATAATCGCTTTGATAATAACTTTCAAAGCTCAGATGCTTTTGCCTCCATACGTGTGACAGATGAGACTGGACGAGAGTGGTTCCCTGATTCTGGTGCCTCTGCACATATCACCTCCTCTACAACTGGTCTTCAAGGGGCACATCCTTATGCCGGTACTGATGCAGTTATGGTTGGCGACGGTGCGCTTCTGCCTATAACTCACGTTGGATCCGCAGCACTCACTTCATCTTCAGGTACAATTCCTTTAAACGAAGTGTTAGTTTGTCCTGACATACAGAAGTCCTTACTGTCAGTCTCTAAACTTTGTGAAGATTATCCTTGTGGAGTCTTCTTTGACTCGACTAATGTTTATGTTATTGATCTGCAAAAGCAGAAAGTGGTGCTAAAGGGTCCACGAAATAAAGGTTTATATATGTTGAAGAGTAATGTGTTGGAGGTTCTCTACTCAAATAGAAACGTTGCTGCATCTGAAGAGATATGGCATCATCGTCTTGCTCACTCCAACAACAGCATTCTTCAACATCTCAAAGTCAGCAAGGAGATCCACGTGAATAAGAGCAGATCCTTCCCTGTGTGTGAGCCTTGCCAGATGGGGAAGAGCAGTAGATTAAAATTTTTTCCTTCTAGTTCTAGTGTTGCCAAACCCATAGATCGAATCCATTGTGATCTATGGGGGCCCTCTCCGATTGTATCCACACAAGGTTTTAAATACTATGCGGTGTTTGTGGATGATTATTCTGGTTATACATGGCTTTATCCTCTTCGTGCTAAATCAGATTTCCTATCAGTATTCATTGTGTTTCAGAAGATGGTTGAGAATCAATTTAGTACAAAGATCAAAGAGTTTCAGAGTGATGGAGGTGGAGAATTTACAAGTACTAGATTCAAGTTGCTTCTTCAACAGTGTGGTATACAACAGAGGCTGTCATGTCCTTACACGCCTGAACAGAATGGGAAGGCTGAGAGAAAACACAGACATATAATAGAGCTTGGACTTTCCATGATGTTCCACAGCTACTTACCTCTGGAATACTGGCTAGAGGCGTTCTTCTCTGCCACATTTGTGTTGAATTTGTTGCCATCTCAAGTTCTGGAGTTGCAAAGTCCTCATGAAGTGTTGTTTAAGACAAAACCAGATTACTCATTCCTCAGAGTTTTTGGTGCGGCTTGTTATCCATGTCTGAGACCTCTAACGACACACAAGTTTGAGCCAAGATCACTACAATGTGTGTTCCTTGGATATAGCTCTCAGTACAAGGGTTATCGATGTCTATACCCTCCCACAGGCCGAGTTTATGTGACTAGGCATGCAGTCTTTGATGAAGAATGTCTGCCATTCAAGGAGAAATACAAGATGTTGGTCCCACGGTATGACACTACCCTTCTAAAAGCTTGGCAGGAAGCAACACATCATTCTGCTACAGAAACGTCAGAACCAAGTCAAATAGCCAGATTATTTCCTCCTCCTGTTCAGAGAGAAGAAGTCGTTCAGCAAAATGATGAGATCCATGACCACTATGTGAATGATCATGGTAGCAATGAAGCAGATCCGGTTGCTGTTATTCCTCACCAACAAGACACTGAGCCTATCGTCAACACACACCCTATGCAAACGAGAGGAAAGTCTGGCATACAAAAGCCGAATACTAGGTATGTTATGCTTACCTCCCGTCTTCAGTCTAACGTCCCAAAGTCTATCACGGAAGCTATGGCTCATCCAGGGTGGAACGCAGCTGTTATGACAGAGATGGAAGTGATTCATATGCTCAATACTTGGAAGTTGGTTCCACTAACTGCAGAAATGAATGTTCTAAGCAGTAGATGGGTATTTACAGAGAAGCTCAAGCCTGATGGTACTGTTGAGAAGCTTAAAGCGCGCTTGGTGGCAAGGGGTAATGAGCAGGAAGAGGGCTTGGATTATCTTGAAACATTTAGCCCTGTAGTTAGAACTGCTACGATAAGGCTTGTGCTGGATATTGCGGTAACAAAAGGCTGGACAGTGAAGCAGCTTGACGTTACAAGTGCATTTCTCCATGGGGATTTGCAGGAGCCAGTTTATATGTACCAGCCGCCCGGGTTTGTAGATCCAGAGAAACCAGACTATGTGTGTTGTCTAACCAAAGCCTTGTACGGCTTGAAACAGGCTCCCAGGGCTTGGTTCAACACATTTAGCCATTTTCTCATCGACTATGGCTTCACATGTAACAAGTCTGATCCGTCTCTCTTTACATATCATCATCGAGGTAAATCTATGGTGTTACTCTTGTACGTTGATGACATTCTGTTGACGGGAAGTGATGAAACTCTGCTTCAAGATCTGCTTAAGGAGTTGTGTCAGAGATTTTCAATGAAAGACTTGGGTAAGCCTAGGTACTTCTTGGGAATATAGATTGTTGAGTATACTCACGGTTTGTTCATGCATCAGAGAGCGTATGCAGAAGACATCTTGCATCAAGCAGCAATGTCTACATGTAACCCAATGCCTACGCCTCTACCTCAACGCATCGAACAAATTGATCCCACACCATTCTCTGATCCAACCTACTTCAGGAGCCTAGCTGGTAAGCTTCAATATCTCACCATAACCCGTCCTGATATTCAGTTCGCAGTAAATTTCATTTGTCAAAGAATGCATCTTCCAACAGTCACAGATTTTGGGCTATTGAAAAGAATACTGAGATATGTTAAAGGGACAGTGGAGTATGGTCTTCACATACGAAAAGATACTGATCTGGTTCTCTCAGCGTATTGCGATAGTGACTGGGCAGGTTGTAAAGACACAAGAAGGTCTACAACAGGCTTCTGTACATTGCTTGGCCCCAACTTGATTTCTTGGTCAGCAAAAAGACAACCTACGGTTTCAAGGTCTTCTACAGAAGCTGAGTACCGTGCGCTAGCTGCAACTGCTCAGGAGATCACCTGGATCTCTTCTCTTCTGCGTGATCTTGGTATATCTCAATCCTACTCAACTCTTCTTATGTGTGATAATCTATCTGCAGTTTACTTGAGTGCCAATCCAGCACTACACAATAGGTCAAAGCACTTTGATACAGATTATCATTACATAAGGGAGCAGGTAGCGTTAGGACTGATTGAGACCAAACATATTCCGGCAGTGCAGCAGCTTGCAGATATTTTTACTAAGCCGTTAGCCCGGCGACCGTTTGTAGAACTCCGAAGCAAACTGGGTGTTGGTACTCTATCCACCACCAGCTTGAGGGGGAATGTGAGTAATATGATCATGGGCCAGTCCATCGGCAATAAACCAAAAGCCCAAGCTGAGGCCCAGCTGGTGGTTCAACCGCATAAGACAAGACAACGGTCTTCTTCACAAAGCAGAGCCAAAACAGAGTGTTCGGCAGAGGCGCTCCAGCTGAGGAACCGTTACGATCCTATCCTCTTGGCGTGTGCTGGATAGTCTTATCCTCCAGCTGTATAGATCTAGATGGTTCCTCAGAGTCTATTTATATCTTTGTAAAAACCCTATTGAAAGATAAGTCGAAAGTTATTATCTTTACAGAAACCATCTTTCTCCTTCATATTCTTATGCCCCCTTCCAATATTGTGCTTCGCTCTCCCCTTTAATTAGCCTTATAGTAAAAACTAATACATGGGACATCTTCAACATCGACTCATTTTCACTTTGTTTAAGCTCTACTTGACCTCTCTGTGTGAAAGCCAAGTGTACAAAAATGTCCACGTCCACACTCGAGAAGTTGGCTTAGCTACAAAGAAAACCAAAACGTGGAGTGTGGACGTATCAGGACGTTTTGTCTGATGCAATCGAAGAAATTTTGTATGAATCCTTTGATGTAACCGACACAAAGATCCATGCATATTCGGTACATGCCAAAATACTTGGTGTATAGCTAAAGTAAATTTTTTTACATTAGTGGGGTATTATTACTTGCCAAATATTCGATCATAAATGCGTTTATATGATAAAAACTGAAATATAATAGTTGGCTACTATTACACAAGTTGACAGAAAAGAAGAAGTAACGTACAACAGTATGTTAGTTGAGATGTTCAAACAGAGACGAAGAGGGAAAAGTTGTTTGGTTGTGACACTTAGGCCATATTCAAAGGGGGAGCACTTAGAGTGTGCTTGGGCTTATTTTAATTGGAAAAAAATTCAAAATTGGGCTAAGATCAGTTTAATAGTGCTTAAACAAGATCAGTTCTAAGCCTTGTTCCTGGGCGACGTGGCAGTTGGTGATTGGAAAAAAATCATTGAACCAAAATTATTCGTTCATCTTCTTCTCTCTCGCGCTTCCCCAATTGATCTGAATCGTCTCCACTACGGGCAATGGCACCGTCGCGAAGACCTCTCCGTACCCACAATCTGTGGGATTTCTCGGATCTCGGGTCAGAAATTGGCCCGATCCGGAAAAAGATACTCTGGCGAAAACGCTTTGATACGTAACTCGGTGGGAAATTCGGCATTGAATTTGTATAGAAGCTGGTAGAGACACGGATCGGATCCCATTTCGAATCCTTGGCTTCCGGCTTGGCTCCGTTTATGATCAGAATAAAAAGTTACCACATGGATTTTAATTTTTTTTTTTTTGTTAAGCACACCCTTAACAAGTGATCTCTCTCTGAGGATGTCCTTTGTTCCTAATCTAAATACATTATTTTACTACTATTTTCACTCTGAGCACACACTTTAATGCTCTCCCTCTGAGGATACCCTTAGCATCTCAACAAAACTTACACAGGAGGTTTAAACTTGGTTTACCTTTAACCGATCATTGGATTGAGTTAACCGGGATGTCAGAGTCTTGTGCCTTGTCATAAAAATAAATTGTCTCCTGATGACATATAGTAGAAGAAATTATTGGATATCACAGAGACTGTATTAAATTGTTGGGGAACACGTGAGTAGAGAGAAGTTGCAAAGAGTCAATAACGTGGTGGCAGAGAAGCGGACCAAAGTGTGTTCTGTTAATTTTGCCACGCAAGCCCAAAAGAGACTACTGTAACTGAAACAGCCGAACGAACGAAGATTAAACTCTGTTCCGTCTCTCTCTCTCCTTCTCTCACTGGCTGGCTCTCTGTCCCAAGACACCACGTTTCTCTGCAAAAAAATAACCTCTGTTTATTACCCTAACATATGTCTCCCTTCTCTCTCCACATGTACAAATGTAACGATCAGTTTTCTATTATTACCACCTCTCAATCTCATCCATCACACTCTTATTTACTACTCTGCCACAACCATCTTCCTCTTCTTCCTCTTTCAAGGGGTTTTAGGGTTTTGGATTCTCCACATTGTACGCTACTCCGTTCAATACTCCTTGGTATTCTCGAATCTTGACGTTTTGGGTTTTCTGTTTTTTGTTTTTTTATTTGAGTCTCTGTTTTATGTGTTCTTTGAGCTCTGTGACTGTTAATATTTAATTTTTTTTTTGCTCCATCTGTTTTCGTGTTACCACATTTGCATCGTTTAGCTACTTTATATTTGACTTTTTCTTGTCCCCTTACTAAAATGGTTGTTTGACTTTCCATCTTATAGTCATTCTCAGGCAAGAGATGATGGTTGTGGAATCTTTAAGTTATAGGAGAGGGTGAGAGATTGAGTTTGTGTCTGAGTTTACCACTGTTTTAAAAAAATGGGGGAGACTAGGAGGCATTCTGTAGATGTTCCTATTACAAGAACGCTTGTGGCTCTTAGAAGGGTTCGGTCACTTAGAGATCCTTGTACCAATTCAATGAGCAAGTTTGCTTCTTTGCTAGAGAACGTCAAATGGGAAACTGGTTCCGAAAATGGCATCTCACTTCAGTTTGTCAACGATGATGCTTGTAAAGCTGATAACGATGTTCCTGTGAGTTTGATTCCTTTTGAATCATGTTCCATAATGGAGGAGCTAGAGAAAGGCTGTGATCTTCACAAGTCAAGCAACAGGGTGGTCACTGCTGAAAGTAAAAGATCTTGTAGAGATTTGGCTTGTATTGTTCCTTCAGTTAGTCATTCTAAGGATGCAGCTTCGGGAGAATATGGTAGCCATGTAAGTAGTCCAATGACCTCAACTAATCATAGTTATAGTTATGAAGAAGATGTTGATTATGCGAATGAATGTAACCGTGGTTGTGGAATAGCCTCTTGCTGGTCAAGAACTCCAAGGTACAGAGGATCAAACCAGTCCTCAGACGTAGAAGAGTATCCTCTACTATCTAGTAATAATGAGAGCAATGCTGTGACACCAATTCACGAATCTGTGTCAAGAAGTCTAAGTCAGAAATTTAGACCAAAGTCTTTCGATGAGTTAGTTGGACAAGAAGTGGTAGTGAAATGTCTCTTGAGCACCATTTTGAGAGGAAGGATCACTACTCTTTACCTTTTCCACGGTCCTCGTGGGACAGGTAAAACATCAACATCTAAGATATTTGCTGCTGCTTTAAACTGTCTTTCACATTCAGCACATAGTAGACCATGTGGCTTGTGCAGTGAATGCACTTCATCGAGAAGAAGCAAGGAGATAGACTCAGCTAAACTAAACCGGCCTAGCTACCTTAGATCTCTCATCAAAAGCGCATCTCTTCCTCCAGTTTCATCTAGGTTCAAGGTTTTCATCATTGATGAGTGTCAGTTACTATGTCAAGAGACTTGGGGTACTCTCTTGAATAGTTTGGAGAATGTCTCTCAGCGTTCTGTTTTTATTCTGGTCACATCAGAGTTAGAGAAGCTGCCAGGTAACGTGCTGTCACGGTCTCAGAAGTATCATTTCTCTAAAGTATGCGATGTGGAGATATCGAATAAGCTAGCAAAGATTTGTATGGAAGAAGGTATTGGTTTTGATCAGGGTGCAGTTGATTTCATTGCTTCTAAATCTGATGGTTCGCTTAGAGATGCTGAGATAATGCTTGATCAGTTAAGTTTGCTTGGTAAAAGGATAACCACATCATTGGCCTATAAGCTTGTAAGTTTAACACATTTGTTTTTTAATAGGTGAGAATATAAATTACATAGTTGTTTTTTTTTGCAGATTGGGGTTGTTTCTGATGATGAATTGCTTGATCTTCTTGATCTTGCACTGTCTTCTGATACTTCAAACACGGTTATAAGGGCGAGAGAGCTTATGAGATCCAAAATAGATCCAATGCAGCTTATTTCACAGCTAGCTAATGTCATTATGGACATTATTGCTGGAAAATGTCAAGAAAGTAGTTCAGCAACCAGACTTCGGTTTCTTACAAGGCATAGCTGTAAGGACACTAATATGACTAATTTTAGTATTAGCGTTAATGAATCTTGACCTATTGTAATATTTTATAGCTGAAGAGGAAATGCAGAAACTGAGTAATGGGTTAAAGATACTGTCTGATGCTGAGAAACACTTGAGAGCATCTAAAAACCAGACAACTTGGCTTACTGTGGCACTTCTGCAACTTAGCAACACTGATTCGTCTTCTTTCTCAACTAATGAAAGTGAATTGTGTTTAAAAAGCCAAGGAAGCAAAGGTACTAAACTTATATATAATGTTTCTTTCTGTGTGTTTCTTGGTTGCTAGCTATATAATTGACCGTGGTACTATATGTAGATGCAGACCTCTCCAGCACATCATCCGATTGTCTTGTTGATGTCGTTAAATTAGAAACCGAAGAGTGTCAAGATAAAAACTGTAAAGAAACAGTTGAAACTCTGTGGAAAAAAGTCATAGAGATGTGTTGTTCGGATTCACTAAAGAGGTTTTTGTTGAAACGAGGGAGGTTAACTTCTCTTATCATTGACAAAGGTAACTTCTTTTCTTTTCTAAAGAGACTCCAAAACATAGAAGTAAATCCATATCTTTTCAGTTTCAGGTGTGGCAATAGCTGAATTGGAGTTCTACACACCTAAACATGTAACAAGAGCCGAGAAATCATGGAAAATGATTGCAGACTCGTTTCAATCCGTGTTAGGATGCAACGTTGAGATTCGAATGAATCTTGTTATCTCTACATGTTCACCACCAAAGAGTGCTAAAGCAGCAGTAAGTCTGTTCTTTGGACTCTTTAGGAGTTGTTCTCGTAGAATGCTACACAAGTCCTATCTAACTACTAGAACCGAGTATGATTACGCAACTGAGAAGCCTGTAATTACAAATACTCTGAGAAGTAGCCAGGGAAATCTCTTGAGGGCTCGAAGTGTACGTTCTTCAGCTAATGCATCGTCACGAATGACTTTGTTCAGGCCAGAAGATGACGCTGATGTGTTGTGTTGGAGGAGGACACCTCCAGGCAAGGTAAACCATATTTACCAGTCCTAAAATTTCTTACCAGAATCCAACAATTTAATGGTTCATCAATGTCTTGACATGGTCAGGGAGAGACACAGAACAACAAGAACTCACGGCTTATTGGCCGTGTTCTTCCCTGCACTGCAGCTGGTTAAGTGAGCTTGATGACATTCCCATTTTGTGGAACTTTTAGCTCATCAACTGAGACCTGGTTTGGGATAAGTTGACGCAAATGTACAGTTGCATAATGTGTTTCAAGACCATATATTATAGATTAGCATATATACTATTGATGTAACGTAACTTTTAATGTAAGGGAGAATAAACAGTACTATAGCGCTTTCCTTATGGCAGCAAGTGGTAGAACCTTTTTTGATCATCTTCCTCCTCCACCGCATGCAACTCTTTTTGCTAATCATCCTTGTGTTCTGTCTATTTTTTAATGTATGATAAGCTGTTTAATTATATATTTAATATATTCTATGTAAATTGAACAAAGAAAAAAATCCTGATTTTTAAATAATGACTTGTTAACATATTACAAATTATGAGAATTTATATTAATGATTCTACAAGCAATAATTATGTGTGTTTATGAAGATTCATATTGGAAGATTTTTTTAGGTACCATTTTGAACTGTTTAGTGATAATTTTTGCATGTTATGGTGTATAAGGTTTTCTTTAATGATGTTCTAAAACTTGAAAACTTTAGATTTTTTACTATGGCTTTAAATTTTTTTACTATGGCTTTAAATTTTTTTTTTTAGAATTTTTTAGAAAACTTTAAAAAATTGATGTAGATATTTGGCTCTGCAAAAAAACTTATAAGACTGTATAGTTATTTCTAAAGCTATGATTTATTTATTTTATTAATGTTTGATTACTTTTTATTTAGTGCTTTAGAAATAAATGAGAATATAGAAAGCAACTACCAATCACCCTCTAGTAAAATGACTCAGAAAATAAACTTATATATATCTGAAACTAAAAAAAAATATTTTTGACTTTTGAGAATAATAACCCAGTTTTCATTATTACTTTCACTGATAGATAGATTCCTATGTAGAAACAATACATATCCATGGTGCATAAAAAAAAAAACAATACATATCCATAACCCTAGTCCGCTGCCTTTGGCAATGCGACACATGTCACGGAGCAATCTCCACCGTTGAAACAGAAACACGTGGCGAAAGTCTTTTGTGATGAGACCTTTGATGAGAGAAACCGTAGCCGTAGCAGCAGCAGCAGCAGCCTCCATTCGTAAAAAAAAAACCTGTTCTTATACCAAATCCAATCTTCTTCTCCGCATTCATCTAAAAACACAACACAATCCTCTCTCAAAATCCATTATTTCCCAGGGAAGTTTCACACCCTAGCTTCACGCTCGTGTTCTGCTTTTGGATCTAAGCTCCTAAACCTCTTAGCTACTTCAAAAAAAGTTTCAATCTTTCTCCGGCTTAGATCTCCATTTACGTCGTTGGCATTGGCTTTTTAGGTTTGAAAGATTTAAGTTTGATATAGCTCAAAGTTGTTATCTTAGCTGATAAAGATAGCTAACCATGCTCTTGGTATTATTATCGTATAGTATATAGTATTGATTTTTGTTTTAAACGATGTTTTCAGTGTTTAGGGGATTGCGGAAAGATGGCGTCAAATGAAGGGTTTTTGACAGATGAGCAGAGAGAGATGATGAAAGTTGCTACCGAGAATGCAGTGAATCATTCAACTTCGCAGAAGCCTCTCTCGTCTTTGCTTTCAGAGTATGTGGCCAAACCATCTGCTACTGCTGGTGGTGGGAAAGGTTATGGTGGTGGGTCGAATGCTGTGAAACATAGAAGGTCTCATGCGGGGAAGTCTGTCCGTGCAAAGAAAGGTGAGTTAATTGCGTATGTAATATGCTATTTAGTTTAATTTTCCTTTGTTTTGATGGACTTAGTGTTGTTTTTAGATGGGTGTGGTGGGAAAGGAAACTGGGGGAAACTTATTGACATGGATGCTGATTATCAGATTGACAGGAATGATCCAAATTATGACAGTGGAGAGGTATAGAAACTACCTCTCTCTTTCTTACAAGATGAAAGTTATCGTCTTTGTGTGTGTGTGTGTGTGTGTGTGTGTGTGTGTGTGTGTGTGTGTCAATAAGTTCAGTTCTCTTTGTGTGTTTATGTTAGGAACCGTTTGAGCTTGTTGGTGCAACTGTTTCAGACCCGTTAGATGATTACAAGAAAGCTGTGGCGTCCATCATTGACGAATACTTTAGCACTGGTGATGTTGATGTTGCAGCAGCTGATCTCATTGAACTTGGTTCAAATGAATATCACCCTTACTTCATCAAGCGGCTTGTTTCTGTGTCCATGGACAGACATGACAAGGAGAAGGAGATGGCCTCAGTGTTGCTCTCCTCGTTGTATACTGATGTCATCAACCCGAATCATATAAGAGACGGATTTGTCCTGCTGCTGGAGTCAGCTGATGACTTTGTGGTGGATATACCTGATGCTGTCAATGTTCTCGCTTTGTTCCTTGCACGTGCTGTTGTTGATGACATACTTCCTCCAGCTTTTCTACCTAGGGCAAGCAAGGCACTTCCAGTCTCTTCCAAAGGATATCAGGTTGTTCAAACTGCAGAGAAGAGCTATCTATCAGCTGCACACCATGCAGAGCTAGTTGAGAGAAGATGGGGTGGGATGACTCGAACCTCTGTTGAGGAAGTCAAGAAGAAGATTGCTGACATATTGAAGGAGTATATGGAGACTGGAGATGCTTACGAGGCGTGCCGCTGCATCAGGGAGCTGGGCGTGTCTTTCTTCCATCACGAGGTTGTGAAGAGGGCTTTAGTCTCCGGCATGGAGAGTGACGCAGCAGAACCACTTGTGTTGAATCTTCTCAAGGAAGCAGCTTCAGAGAATCTGATAAGCTCTAGTCAAATGGTGAAGGGTTTCTCCAGGTTAAGGGAAAGCCTAGATGATCTTGCTCTTGACATTCCTTCAGCTAAATCCAAATTTGATTTGATTGTGCCAAAGGCTATCTCAGGAGGCTGGCTTGATGCTTCGTTTAGTGATGCCTCTGGTGAAAGTGGACGACAGCAGATGGAGGATGAGAAACTCAAGCGGTTTAAGGAAGAGGTTGTGACCATCATCCATGAGTATTTCAATTCCGATGACATACCTGAGCTCATACGCAGTCTTGAGGACTTGGGAGCACCAGAGTACAACCCAATATTTCTAAAGAAGCTGGTAACACTTGCTCTGGACAGGAAGAATCGCGAGAAAGAAATGGCATCTGTTCTCCTCTCTTCTCTTCACATTGAGATGTTCACCACTGAAGACGTTGCAGATGGTTTCGTCATGCTCTTGGAATCTGCAGAAGATACAGCTCTTGACATCCTTGATGCTTCCAACGAACTTGCACTCTTCCTAGCCAGAGCTGTGATCGATGATGTGTTGGCACCTTATAGCCTCGAGGAGATCTCTAGCAGACTACAACCAAACTCAAGCGGGACTGAAACCGTGAAGATGGCTAGGTCCCTTATCTTTGCACGCCATGCAGGAGAGAGGCTTCTACGTTGCTGGGGAGGTGGAACAGGATGGGCTGTTGAAGACGCCAAGGACAAGATCTTGAACCTCCTGGAGGAATATGAAAGCTCAGGGCTTGTATCAGAAGCTTGCAAATGCATCCATGAGCTAGGCATGCCTTTCTTCAACCACGAGGTGGTGAAGAAGGCCCTGGTCATGGCTATGGAGAAGAAGAAGGACAAGATTGTGATGGAGCTTCTCCAGGAGAGTTTCGGTGAAGGGCTGATCACCATTAACCAGATGACCAAAGGTTTCACTAGAGTCAAAGACGGGCTTGAAGATCTTGCTTTAGACATCCCAAATGCAAAGGAGAAGTTCAGTGAGTACGTGGAGCATGCAAAGAAGAATGGTTGGGTCTCTTCCTCGTTTGTAACTTCACTTACTGAAGATTCTAAGCTAGGCTAAAACCAAATGTGAACAAGTTTCTTTCTCTCTTGACTCTTGAGCATGCATCCCTGTTGTTGTTTCTTTGCACTTTTATGCTTTTGAAAATTTCTACAAGGGGAGCTTTATCTTTTCTCGGATGTTAAAAACGTTTGTTTCTTCAGGGACCAGTTTTTTAAAATAAAGAACTTTGGGGTTATTTTGTTAGCGAAGCGGAAATATTGGATCTTGTTTTAATTAAATCCTTTTAATTAATTGAAGTGAGCGCATCGATATATGCAGACTACTAGCTAAAGAAGGAAAGAACTGGCGAAAGCTAATTAAAATCCCGAAAATGAAATTTGTAATACCGAAACTACCCTTCGCTCTTTCTCTCTTCTTCTCACTCTCTCTCCTCCTCGTCTTCTTCTTCGCCTTCCCCTTAACTTCCCTCCGCCGTCCTCTCCCCTCCTCCTCCGCCACCGTCACCGTCGCCGACGAAGGGATACGGATCCGTCATGGATACACCTCATACGAAGCCTACATCCAGCACCAGCTCAACAAAACTCAGAACCCGAAGCTCCGCAAGGTGTGGACGACGCGCGACTGGGACAGGAAGGTGCGCGTGTTCTCCACCTTCTTCCAACGCCTCAGCGATCGCGGCCTCCTCTCGAACGGATCGAAAGCGCTCTCGATCGGAGCTAGAGTAGGTCAGGAGGTCGCGGCGCTGAGGCTGATCGGCGTGGAGGACTCCATCGGGTTAGATCTGGTGCCGCGTCCGCCTCTCGTGGTGAAAGGTGACTTCCACGCGCAGCCGTTCGAGGAGGAGACGTTCGATTTCGAATTCTCTAACGTGTTTGATCACGCGCTGTATCCGGAGAAGTTCGTTGGGGAGATCGAACGGACGTTGAAGCCTGGAGGTGTTTGTGTGATACACGTGTCGCTTCATGGGAAGACGGATAAGTACTCGGCGAATGATTTGTATAGTGTGAAGCCGTTGGTGAAGCTGTTCAAGAGATCGGAGGTGGTTGAGGTGAGGAAGATCGATGGGTTTGGGCTTGACACGGAGGTTGTTTTTAGGAAGAACAAAGATTAATTCAAAATTGTAATTTTGATTCATTTTTTACACATAGATACGTTGTTAAAGCTGTTTGTTTTCCTTTTCTGGGTGTATTTTTCTGTTTTACTATTCGTTTTCTTACCAATTACAGAATTATTACTACAAGAGCTGTTACCTACCACTGGACGCGAAATTAATAAAAGTATTTTTTTTTGTCAACTTCTTGAAGTTAATAAAATATAGATTTGCTTTTACCATTGATGATAGTGTTGACGTACTGTTTTATTAATATTCTATTTATCTGCCAGGCTGAAAGGAGGTGCAAATGGAATATATATTGGCCCACTATAATGAAGCATAACGACATAAAGTGAAATCTATCAACTTCAAACATCACTTTTGGTAAGAACTAAGAATATCAAGGGGAGATATGATTTGGATTTAGAATAAAGGTTGAGAAAGTGTTTTAACCGAGGGCAAGACTCTGAAAGTTCGCAATATTCATGCTAGTCCAAGACTCCACGTCCAGGTCTCAAAATGGAAAAAGAAACTATGCTCAAAGCAGTTGTTGCATTAGCCCTTCTAACTTACTCTGTGACATGCCCTCAAGACTTGTGTGCTGGAATACAGTCACTATTATGCCAAGATTTTGGTGTAGGAACAAAGAAACTAACGTAAGATTAACATACCAAAACAAGCTCTAAATGTTAACAGAGTTTCAGAATGTCACGGCTACACAAATATCTGTAGAAATTTGGAGACTGTACGAGAAAGTAAGGGGAACTGCACTGTTTCTCTTCTTCCTACCTTGGGTATATAACCTTCTCAAAGAACTACATCGACGCTCTGCTTTCTATATGAAATGTTTGTTACCGTATTTGCATATTTATTGCCGGCTAATTTACTTTGTGCAGAAACGAAAACAAATGTTTTTAAACTTGCTCTTTGTTCTTGGGAAATTCAACAGTGATAAGCAAATCAACTAGATTCAAAAGAGATGAGACAAGTAGAGTCGAGAGAAACAAGAGCAGGGGCGGATATTGATCTCAAATATGGTTTCTCACACCTTGAGATCCTACCGTTCTGAGTTTCCAAATTGCAATTTTGAAGTGCTAAACAGAAACATATGACATGCTCACAGATCGATGACTCGAGACAGCTTCTGGATCCTGTTAAGCAAGAAATCCCCTTGCTTGATTGTTGCTTGGTAAAGTGCATTCTTTGCATCAGGACGGTTAGTCTCCAAAACACCTGCAACCTTGTCTATCTTGCAGTGAAGCTTCCCAGCTGCAATGAAGCGTGACAGCTCCCTGAATTAAAAAAGAAGGAAACATGTCAAGCTGGTAAACTAAAAGACACTGAAGAATGTAATGAAGCGTTTGTTGTTGTGCTTACTGATCAATGAAATCCACCGAAACACCAAAGGCCTTTGCCATCGCATCGACCGTAACGCTCTTGTAAGATTCCAAGAACTGAGAGTACACCACCGTTCTCACTTCCCTCATGTAGAACCGGAAATGTGGGTTCAAGTAACGGTCAAACTTTATCTGCTCCGCCATTCCAGCTGTAAAATACACCAACAATGAAGACAGAGACAAGGTAAGCAAATCACATACACAAATAAGCCAGTTAAGTAAGCTAATTAGGTCACTGAATCAATTGAACTCACCAAATGCTGAGAAAAACGCCTTGTACTGGCACTCGTACAGGGAGTTGAGGAACTCAGAAAGGAATGGAATCTTGCCAAGCACAGTTAAAATCTCAGGTGCGTCAACAACCTGTCAAATTATTAGCAGTTTTATCATTCTCTCAACAGAAAAAAGATTTATAACACTTTAGGACTTGGCCATCGAGAAATACCTTTTGCTTAAGAGAAACTCTATCGAGAGTTATGATGCTCGTCAGCACGGTGTAGAAAATGAAGGTCTCGTAGGGAAAGATCTCATAAGTCGTGAAGGTTGATATAGAATCCAAAAATAAGCTGGCAGCCTTCTTAAAGTTTCTGGTGGACATGCAGTACAAGCCTTCATAGACCTTTAGCCTGTTCTTCCTCTCCCAGTCACCACCCTCTTCAAACAACCTAGCAAGGGAAAACAGAAAGTGTTAGACCAGATCTTTCAGTTGCAGTATCCAAAGAGCCTAATCGATACTCACTTTTTGGCCTTGTCAATGCTTTTGGACACGAGGTCGAAATCCATGTAGAAAAAGGCAAGCTGCAAGGTATAGAAGACAAGGTCCATTTTTTGGCCAACAGCAACGGTTTTTCCTTCGGTGAGTTTCAGTTGCTCCAAAGCTTTCTCCTAAAATTCAGAAAGCAAAGATTTAGTTGCCAAGGAAGGAAGTTGTATAAAGTGGCATAACGACTAACTTTGACATGCTCACGTAGTACCTTATCACTAATCCTGACGAAATAAAGAGCCTTAGCAAGATGAGCTTCACGGACTTCACTCTCTCCCAAATTCTCTTCTGCATCTGCAATCCTACACAAAGGACAACGAAATAAATAAGTAAGAGAACATCAAAACCACATACACGTAAGACAAAGGACTTTTGATCATAGCAAAGGCAGTTAAAGTTTCATAAAAAAAAATTAAATTTCGTAGTATAATTTAAGCATCAGACAGAGAAAAAATTAGATAATGGTTATCTCTAATTCACAAACAAAGACATCTATGCTATGAATCTTAATCATTCCTTCAAGATCATTACATCAGCTACACAATAACATCTAATTCAATACCTAACTCCACCCAATCTGCTTCGTAACATCCAATTCAAGATCCAATTGATACAGAATGCTACAGTTACCCTACATCAGTCTAAAGCAGCAACATACACTAATAAGGAGGAAACTAAACTTACTTCTCGTCGAGCTTTTTAAGCTCTTCATCGTTGGAAGCACGCATAGAATCTAACAAGCTCTGATCCAATTCCAGTACAGAAGACGCCGTTAGGGTTTCGTACAATGGAGCCATCCCTAAGGAACAAAAAACCGATTAAAATTTTCCAAGCTTTTCTCGATTGATTGATTAGGGGAAAAAGGAAAGCTCTAATTTTTACCATCGGATTTGATGGAATCCAAGACGTCAGACTTGAGCTGGACTTTCTCGATGTCCTGAACATCGGGGTGCGTGAGGAGGAAGAGCTTGTGGGCTAGAATAAGGTGAGGCTGCTGAGTTCCTTCTGCTCCACCGTCCATGGCTATTATTGCTACACTCTCTTGAATCAGGGAAAAACCTTTGAGATGGATCTGAGAAAAGAGAGACGAATAAATGAATATTGTGTTTTCTTGAGTAAGGAGGAAGAGCGGATCCTCTTTCTGAACAAGTGTCTTTAGTTAACACTAATCTTAATTTCCTTTACTTCACACTGGAAAAATAATTTAAAAGTTATAATTATTATTCCAGAATTGATTAACCAATAATATTTTATTATGTTATTTATAGTTAGTTAATTTCTTTCTAATTTCTCTTATTAATAAATTATCCTCTAAAATGTACTTTTAAAAAAATTCTGGTGTGTTTTAAGCAAAACATCGGAATAAATAGTGATAAACTGTGATTATATATTAATGCAACCGCAAGTTACATCATTCACAGAAACCACATTATTCAATTCATGAAGTTTCTCCAAAACGAAAACAAAGCCAAGTAAGATAACACAATAAATCCGAAAGAAGCTGAAGCAAAAAGCATCAAATCTTCTAATGGTCATGCAAAAATAAACTCAGTTCATGATTGGTGAAACCCTCCTCCTCTCTAGATACCTTTCTCAAGCATCGCTCTAACTCTCATAGGAAGTCCATAAAGACGAATAAACCCAGCAGCATCAGCTTGGTTGTAAATCTCACTCCCTTCAAACGAAGATATGTCCTGTCTATACAGACTGTTCGGACTCTTACGCCCTGTCACCGACACAGATCCTTTGTACAGCTTCAATGTAACTGACCCTGTGGTTTTCTCAGTTAACTTCTCCATGAAAGCGTCCATGGACTCCTTAAGAGGATCAAACCATCTTCCCGCGTAAACCATCTCTGCGTACTTCAGAGCTAATGAGTCTTTCACCTGAATGCTCTCTCTGTCTAGAGTGAGGGATTCCAGCTCCTGCACGGCTGCGAAGAGGATGGTGCCTCCAGGGGTTTCGTAGACACCACGTGACTTCATCCCAACGAGACGATTCTCCACCATGTCGATACGGCCAATGCCGTGTTTCCCTCCTATTGTGTTTAGCTCGGAGAGAAGGGTGGCTGGAGAGAGAGGCTTTCCGTTGAGTGCCACTGGAAGTCCAGATTCTATCCCGATCTCTATGTATCTGTTAAAAAGTACAAACAACAGTTGCTGAGCTGTTCTCTTGCAATAGCCTCACACGTCAACATACCATACCAAACAAGGCTTTAGAGAAGAAGAGCAACTTACTCAGGCTGATCAGGAGCATCTTCGGGGTCTACACTCATCATGTACATATCTTTCTTGGGCTCGTTAGCTGGATCTTCCAATATATCACCCTTTCAAAAGAAAAAAGATGTTCGGTTTCAGATATCAGGTGAACATAGTATTAGGACATATAGTATCAACAGTTGGCTTTTGTTTTTACCTCATGACTAAGGTGCCAGAGGTTCCTGTCACGGCTGTAAATAGATTTCTTTGTCACGGGGACAGGAACGTTATGCTTCTTGGCATACTCGATAGCGTCTTCTCTGCCTACGATTTCCCATTCTCTCCATGGTGCCACAACTTTAAGTTCAGGGTTTAGCGAAAAGAAGGTGAGCTCAAACCGAACCTGGTCAATTAATCAGTCAAAACATAATTTAAGAATCCGAAAAATGTGTTTTCTCAATGTGACACTTTAGCAATAGCAAGATAATCCAAGTACTTGCCTGGTCATTTCCTTTGCCAGTACACCCATGTGCAACAGCATCAGCTCCAACCTCTGCTGCTACATCTACCATGGCCTAATCATTTAGAAGTTGTGTTAGAGAATAAGAAAATTCGAAAAGATGTATTCACATGTTAGAAATACTTGTGTTCTTTCACAACATAATCAGCTAAAGCCTCTTGAAACGTTACCTTGGCAATGACAGGTCGAGCCATGGAGGTACCAAGCAAGTATTTTCGCTCGTAGATGGCACCAGCTCTTAGACAAGGGAATATGTAGTCTTTCACAAACTCCTCGGTGAGATCCTTAACAACCAACTGAGAAGCACCGCTCGCCTTAGCCTTTTGCTCCAAACCATCCAACTCTTTTATGCCCTTCATATATCAAAGCATTTAGAGATTGAGAAGACATAACTCGAAAAAGCTACACAACACAAAAGTTCATTTCTCAACTAAAACAGTCAACAGTTGGGATTTAAGGTAGTAGTGTATGTACCTGACCAACGTCTGCGGTGAAACACACAACTTCACAGCCATAGTTTTCCCTGCGGAACACAAATAGTTTCATGTAAGAGTAGTGAATACAAGAAAACAAACTACCACAACCGATTGCTACAAAACCAGAGGATTAAGTTATTCTTGCTAGAGGTTAGAAGTTGAAACTCAAGAGAAAGTGAAACAACATACTTAAGCCATGGCACGATGACAGAGGTGTCTAAGCCTCCACTGTAAGCTAGAACGACCTTTTTCAGTTTGCCACGAAGCCCGGCACCCTTTGAATCAGCAGTCTGTTCCTCACCGGAGAGAACAGCTCGAATAGCTGCGCAATATTCAAGACCCCCCAAAGTGTTTAAAAACGTATTAACGCAAATAGGAAGAATGTGACTTTAAAAGAGATACGGGGCTGATTCAGTGTAACACTAACTTCACCTTGATTCTTGCAGCCGCGGGTTACTGGAACATGACCAATAGCAAGAGCATTGCCAACAAGCTGGCTTCGTCTCACAGATAACTGCATTTCATACAAGCAATGTCGTGTAAGATTTTAGATACGAGACATGAATAAGAATTAATTACAATTGGAATATATATACCTCTTGAAAGGATGAAGTGGTTCTCAGACAAGCTACATTCTGACATCTTATGCTAGCTGCGGGGAAATATTTAGATATAAATCAATTACATTTCAGATTACATATACTAGAAGACGACGAAAGCGCGAGAAATGAAATGGAGGAGAGAGAGAGAGAGAGAGAACCATTGAATGAGCTGCGAAGTGCGAGAGCAGATGACGAAGAAGGGAACGAAGTCGCCGATATTTCAGCCATGTCAGAACGATTGTTGTTTTCTGGGTTGTTTGCGTTGTGGTTTTACAATGAGGTTTTTGGGAGAGGCTCTCTTGTAAAATGTGTGTCTGCGTTGTGTTTGATAAGTTGGTAAGAGATACGTCAACAGGGTCCTACCTCCTCTAGGGTTTTTGACTATTTTCTGCAATGTCATTACTCATTCTTTCATTTTACAATTTAATTTTCTACTCTTTTTATTGTCCCTTAACAATTATCGAAAGAACCATGTGCAAAAAAAAGATTGGTAGTTGTTTGCCACATTTCTTTTAATTTACTGTACAAATTATACCCTAAATAATCGTTTCACTAGCACTTGGTAAGTGTTTATTATATACTGAAGACTGAATGGCCAAAAGCTGACACTTAGATCTCTCAATCATAAAGCAACAAAACTCTGTTATTGTTCTTGTCACTGGTATGCAACCAAAAACAAACGAAATTAAAAATAACAAATGAAACGACTACCTATTATTATTAATAGATAAGATATATGATACGCAGTGTGTATGAAAATTGCAGTTTGCGAGTCCTCAAACACTGATTGTGTTTTGTCTATCCGCAGGTGCAACGCATTGCCAGAGAGAACAATAAACCGGTATATCTGCCGGTTTTAACCCCGAAGCAGCGATGTTTCGGCCATATTCCTAAAAGAGGGAGAGATATTAAACCGATGATGTTACACTTCTTTCTAAATCTACTATTTTCAGATATATATATAAATCTTTTATACCCAGTTAGAGAAGTGTTACCTGAGTATCAAGGAATAACTGCATACACATCTTGTCTGTTTCAGATACATTGTCATCAGAGGCACCTGCTGCTGCACCTGCTCGTTTCTGTGCCTTCTTACGGAATTGCTGAAGCGATGACTCTGTTCTTCTTGCCTGTAACATACTCACTACAATCAGTATCTCTACCGCCTTTTGCTGCACTCAATCTACTAAACCAATAACATATTGAAAAGATATGTGCTAATACTATTTGGAAGGATTTCTAGAAGATTTGTTCTCCTGAATTTGATGATAAAAGCTTACTTGTTAATTGAACTATTTAATAATCCTGATAAAGTGTTTAAAACAAAAAAATACTTACCAAGCTAACAACTTCATCAGCTGATTCGTAATACCGCCTGGTAATATCAGTAACAGTGCGAAGCAGTATCCCCTCCCTTGTTTCCTGCGTCAAGTAACGTGTAGCCTTATCTCCCTCCAAAAAGGCCTGTTGATAGAGACGGTGCAATAATCAACTCTTCAGAATCCATCATTCAAGTAACTACAAACGTTCTTAAAACCATAACCCCAAAGATGAATGAATACCTTTACATGACGCAGTATGCCAACAACATATGGTGAGTGTCTGGTTGGTGGTGGTTTATTAGTCATCCTATACGTTGTTGATATTCCTCTGACCTGCCTTAGGTCCTATAAAAGATACGAAAGGCATTTACCATGTATGATACTTGGAGAATAACACTAACCTTAAATCTAATCATAATCAACACTTTTCTTGTAGGTGATCATTAAATTAAGGCCGTCAAAAAAATCTTGAAATGTTAGCTAATGAACCTAATGTTTCTTCAGGGCTTTACCTCGACAGATCTTTCAACAAGTATTTCAATAATTGCATTGGTGAGTAAAGGTAGGACTTCCTTTAATTTATCTCCACCCTGTAACATGCTCTTCCTCACCACATCAAGAACTTCAGTGGAGCAAGAAGATAAATGGTGAGATATATGTCCAAGGTAATCGCCACAAACTTCAGAGACTAGATAATTTACGTCATGTATAACCTGCAAGGATGTGTAAAACTGTAATTATTCCAAAAAAAAAACCATCCACCGTATGGTCTATAACACCAGCTTTCATGTATTTATGTGAACATCACACATTTTGAATTCACCTGTTTTCCACACTAATTTTATCATTCTAATTCTAAAACTAAGTCCACAAAAAGAGGATGCAGTTTTTAAGCTGTCCAACATAACATAGCTGCAGATGATTCAATAAACACGAAACTGCAGAGATCTGAAAATAAGTGGAGCTGAGAAACAATCCAGTTAAGAAGTGACTTACATATACAAAATCTTCTGTAGTGGCCGAAACTGCCCAATCACATCCAGGACTCGGGCTGGCATTACCCCTTCTAGTATGCAGCGAAGATGACACCCAAATGCAATATCTACATGTTATTAACACATTGTCAAAATGAGAACTGTAACAAAAACTAAGCGTGGATAATTTTACAAGCTAAATTTCAGAAACCTCGAAAGAAGCTGCAAGGTCAATCGAAGAAATTTATCAGCCGCGGAGAAAACGAGAACATCTTCTTTCCAGCATGAACGCAAGCTCTCCAAAAGCGTATCGCTCTGTTTGAGTATTAAGTAGGCCGAACTCCGTTTATCTAAATCAGAATCCTGAATGAAGACCAGAGAAGGAGAAGTAAGAGCAGAATCCAGGGCTCCAGCAATCTCCTGAAACCTGAAATGATGCATTTTAGATTTAGAGAAGCTGAAAAGCGACTAATTTAACACTAAGTCAACTTCCATCTATGATGTCTCAAATACCTCAGTGAAAAGTATACTCCCACATTCCATTGCTTCATGAATTCGATACATACTGCTTCAGTTCGAAACTTAGTGACAGCAGCCCTTGACGGACAATAACCTTCATAAAAAGAATAAGGTAAGACTCGACTAAAAATATCCAAATAATGTCATCGCCTGGTATTAAATTAAACCATTTGCTTATATGAGACACATGAAGATTAGTTCACAATGCATCTGATAAGACATGAGGTTAAGCTCCGCGAAATAAATATATCAGCTATTTTACCTTCAAGATATGCCAAGAAATCCAAGCTTGCTTTGTAATTCTTCAAGAACTCAGTAGGCCTTCCCGGAGAAAATGCTCCTGGTTTAACCTTCTGGATTACCGAAAGAACTTCTTTTAGAATTGAATTTGCCAAGAAGTCGAAAACGTGCAAACCCGATTTTTCTGTTTCAGCAACAAGATACCAAGCAAAGAGTACAATGAGTGATGTATAAAATGATAACACTAGCAAGGAAATAATGTCCTACTGTTATTAACGAACAAGATTGATATTACATAACAATATGAAGATAAATAAGTCATGAAATCTAGATACTGTGTTAGTTGCGCAAAATTCTTCTTAGATATTTATGAATAAAATTCTCTAAACATAACCTTAAATAAGACAATCGGAGATCTACAATAAATATGATCACAGAGAGCTGAGCGAATTACCGGTTGAAGATATTTCTAGCAGCAGTTTACAGTCCTTCGCAATAAAATGCTTGATCTGCTTGTAATCATTTTCAAGTTCATCTCCCGACGATCCAGCTGCACCCGTTGCTGTGTCAAGTGCAATAATTTTATGTATAAATGGAGCCACAATCGTTGTACGAAAAATTTCTTCTGCGCTCTTTGTGTTATCAATGGCAGCATATGCACGCAGGCAGTTGTAAAGAACGCTTGTGTCGCCGTTGTTTAGCCCGTCAATGAAGGAATGACCCAAGCTAGCATCTAATAACACATTAGCGCTTTGAATCCTCTTCTCCATGTTCTCAACGAAAGGCAGGTTCTGTACTGCCATAACATAAAACGTAGTGAGCAACCGTAAGACTTCCTATCGTCTTCCTGAAACTAACATGTCTAATGGAGGTTTTGATACACCAGAGAGTTCACATTATCCTACCAGGTAGCATCTCATATTCTCATGTAATCTATTTCTTTTGTCAGCAATGAATTTTCCTAGCGTCCCACCCATTTATCAAGCCCCACACGCAATAACTAGTTAAATTCCCTGGATACTTAAATGCAGTATGCTCGAACCTATATATCTTCTGATGGACATTGGACTTGTAACTTCGTAAAAGTAAAAAACAAGAAAGTAAAATTGTATGATGGAGACCTGTGCATGAGCCATATAGAACTTGAGTCGATTCATTTCACTAGCTATTCTCTCCAAAAGCATGCTCTGTGTTTCTCTAATGGTGGTTCCATCTTGCTGCGTGGAGTTTTCAACATTCATAGAGCTCCTAAGGGACACACCATCCTCTTTTTGCAAATCAGAAGGAGCACTTGGTAAAACTTTTATCAACTTTTCAACCTACATTCTCAAATCATTATACATTACTTACCTCAAGCATTCATTTTATCTAATCTAACAACCAATAAATAAATAAAAAAGCAAACATCAACAAGCTTGCACACGTCACGTGCATTCAAGCTAAAAAGTTAATCAAATTGAGAAAACAATATCATCTACCTTTGATACCACATGAAACGTATCGAGCAATAACTCGAGAACCTCCCTGGCAGAAGCAGCATCTGAACGTTGCTGCAATCCACTCCTCAATGCGAAAAGCGCAGCCTCAACAGATCCACGAAACGCAGTGATCTTCTCACGGAGTCCAAGTAACGGAGCGCGCATGCGGACTACAGCCTCATCGATATCGACGAGCTTAGTGCTCAAACTCACGAAATCTGCGTAGTCTCGATTGATGAGATCAACGAGTTCGCGGTTGAGGGAAGCGAGGTGTGATCGGAGCTCGGATCGGAGAGTGTCGAAGGGGACGAATGTACGGAGCTCCGAGATGTAAGACTCGGAGTCGAAGACAGGGGAAAGGAATAGGGAAGGCTTGAACCATAGTGGATGTGAGTCGTACGGATCGGAGAAGAAATCTGAGGCGGATCTCGGCGCTGATGACGGAGACGGTGACGTTGCTACCAGATCTGACATTTTCGATTCGCTGCTGCTGCTGCTGCTTCCTCTTCCCGGGAAGCTTGAGTGGGATCCCTGAGATGGAGGAGAGTTGTGAGAGTTTGAAGATTGTCCGGTTCAAGGGTAGAATGGTCTTTTAAACCAATTAAATCGGTTGTAATTCGGTTAAGCTACTATAAAACCAAAGATCATACGATTATGGCATTAAAAACGTTACGTCCCGGTTAGGTTCTTTCCATCTTAAAGTTGGGTTACCCACCAGTGAAAAACTCTACTCCATTCAGCATGTTTGTCTTTGTTCTCTCAAGCTGAACCTTTTAATTCTCTTAGTGTCTCTAAACACTTGAATCATTGGATCATATCTTCACAATATTGAATTCGTACTTATTAAGTTGCTTCTTCAAACCACCTTTTGATTTCAAACACGGAATGGTTATGAAAAGAAACAAGGTGTTCCTTGAAAATAGTGCTTTATATTGCTTGTATATAAAAAGCAAATCTCTGCAGTTTAAGAAATGAAAGGTCCTAGATAAACTGTGTAAAACCTGTCTAGAAAAATAAAATAAAAAACCAGAAAGAACCTATGTCTGCATGAAAAGTTGAAAACTAAGTAAAAAAGAGAAGAATCATGAAGCTGATGTGGTGGGATCGCAGCTATCGTGTGTACAAGCCAGAACATCTCTGTAATCTCTAGAGATTTTGAAGGAGTCATGCACTCGGCCGTCGCTGCTCTTCTTGTACTCAAAGAGAAGGTTTGAGTGATCTGAAGCAGTCAACTTCACAAACCCATAGTCATAATCTCGGACCAAACTCCATTTAGGAACCAGTGAGCTAAACGGAGACAAGTGACTTCCTGCACCACCAACAACTACGTGAATGGTTCCTTGGAATGTCCCTGAGTAGTTATCCTTTTCACCGTTCACACATTGACTCTGCAATAGAAAACAACAAGGTAATGAAAAACTCAGAGACAAGGTACATTGATAAGAGTATTAAAATAAGGATAGGGATCGAACCTGGTAAATGGGACATGTTCGTTCATAGTTATGGACATGTCCGTAGAAAGCAATGTCTACTTTGTACTTCTGCCAGAGCTTCTGCAGGCTTTCTCTTCCCATAGGCTCTTCAAAGGTTCCTTCTTTGCCATACCAATCATTGGTGGAGTAACCGAGGACACGGTGAGCAATAAAGATGAGCCAAGGCTGAGTCTTTCTGTCAACAGTGGCGAGGCAATGCTCGATGAATTTGTATTGCTCTGTGCCTTCTCTCCAGTCATGTTCACTGTCTGCTACACAGAAGCGGAACATTCCGTAATCTGCAGAGTACCAGAATTTAGCTCGGTTCTCAGCAGGAAAGTAGAACATGGTCTCTGCAGGAACACCACACTCTCCTCCAGAGTCTTGACCTGCGTAGAAGGATCCTGTGTCTGGCCAATCACGCTCATGGTTGCCACTGAAAATGAAACAGAAAGTAACATAACTAAACAAACTGCAAGAGTAGAGGAGCAGAGAAACGACGAAACTTTTCTTATTGACTAACCTTGCAATCATGTATGGAACCTTAGAAGCGACAGGCTCAACTTGAGCTGTGAACTGATCCCACTGGGAGAGATACCCATTTGAGTAAGTGATATCTCCAATATGGAAAACAATGTCAATGTTCTTCAAGTCCTTGATGAGTTGGTCAGTTGTGTTGAGGGAACCGGGCTGGTAATCATTATATTCGTTTGAGCCATCTCGCTCTCCCTGAAACATATCACAATGTAAGTGAATAATAGTCATAGTCCTATTGCAATGGAGGCCTAAGCAAGATAGTTACCTTCCCCATATCACCAAATATTATGACACGTTGTAACGAGTCTTGTCCAGGAAAAGGAGAGGAAACGAAAGTGAAATTCTTGCTCCAAATTGTGGAACCGTTGAACAAGTCATGGCCAAGCCTGTATGTGTACCTGAAAACCAACGGAATGGTAGTTACAAAACTATCTTAATATGAAAAGAGAACAGATAACTTACTCGCGGTTTGGCCAAAGTTCTTTCAAGAAAGAGGTATGGAAGAAACCAGGATCACGCCAACCAACACCACGAGCAGGGAGACCTATGTAAATATCACATGATCTTAAGAAAGATCCAGATGAAGAATTCAAGATTAAAAAAAAAAAAAAACCAAAGAAGACATACCACACAAGCTGTTTCTGTTGAAGGTAATGGTTCCAGCTGGTGTTCTTTTAGCTGGAAATCCTTTAGAACTCCACTCAATGAACGGAACAGCCTCATTTATATTGTACCCACTCGTCCATGTTACAGTCATCTAACAAAAGATCACAAAACAAGCCTGTTTTAGTGAAAAGATAAAACAAATAAAAGCTGCAACTTATCAGGGGAAAAAAAAACTTACTTCATCCCAACTCTTCCCTAAAGCAAGACGTGGGTAGACAGGTGCTTTAGGATTAACAAAAGATATAGGATTCGAAACCCCGATAAGTACTGGCTGCGGTATTCAAAAACATCAATAAGTCAATACTACAATATACTAAGCTGAGAAAACTACATTAAGTCAACTTACCTGGTCAAGAGTCCCAGAAAACAGTGCAAACGAGATATCAGCTCTCTGGTTTATAATCTGCAACTTCAAAATCACGTTCCCAGACTTTGTATACTCGGGATATTTATTCAGATACAAGTACTGACAAATAGAAAAAAAAAAAAGACAACGTTAATCCTGAGATCAAATCTAGAGACCACGGAGGTCAATAGGCAATAGAAAAATAAGCAAACCTTGATGGGAGATGAGCAAAGCTTAGGAGACTTTGCCTTGTTTAGGGGTTCCCAAGGCCAACAGGTATTTTTGCTAGCAACAAAGACTAGTTAATAACAATTCATAATAGCACAATAAAATAAAAGCATTGGATAAAAGATAATATTTACTCGAATTTTGCTGGAGAGAAAACTGCCATCCAATCCTTTGAATTGTGACTGGGGTTGGAGATAGCAACGTCTACCCATTCAGTATCTTCTCCCTGTAGATCCAAAACCAAATTGATTTAGAAAGCTTGGTTCTTGACACACTTTGGTGAGATCAAGAACACTCGTTTAAAACGGCTAATCACAGATTATCATTTACAAATCTAGCACTAAAAATCGTTTCTTATTCACTTGAGAGTATAAACTAGAACCAGAAGAGATCAATAAATGAAACAGAACCTTTAAACCAAGGACTTGAGGGGAAGCGTGAATATGGACAGCAGTGTCCAGAGCAAGACTTGTTTCATAGATGTTAATCTGAGCTAAAGGCTGATCTCCTCGTCCATTGCTGGCGTGACCTGAACATCTCGAACTCAGCAGTCCGATCAAACAGAGAAGCAGAAATAAAACCTTAGGCATCGTTGATTTGTTGTGAATCAGAAGTGAAACTCATGAGGAGATATTTATAACAATAAGGGTTTAGGAATCTTTTTTAGAATTATTCATTTCTAACTGTCAAATTTATCTTCTCAATCTTTTGTAACTGAATATCTTTTCAACCTAGAAAAATCTTATATCTCACAAACCTAAATACAATAGTAGTATATAATGAGTATTTGTGTTAAATTTTATTTTTAAAACTAGAATCAATCTATATATTATTATCACACTAAAAATATTTTTTTAACCAAAAGCTACATTGAAAAATAAGTAAGTATTACACATCTATAATTTACCTATAATCTTTATAGAATTTATTTATTTACAAATCTAAATCTTTATGTGAATTTTGATGTTCAAGTCAAGTTGTTGTTGACCTAGTGAGACAAAAATCAGTAGTTATGTAACTGAACCGTTTAATTATAATCATTGTCTTAAAAGTCACTAAACAACATTTTTTTTTTCTTTTGTGTTAAACGAAGAACTCAACAGGATAATTTCTGATATGATTCTCAAAAGAATCTAATATAATCACTCTTGTATTTTCTTTTTTTATTTAACATTTAAATTCAATATAAAAAATAAGTAAATTGTCAAAGAAAATCTAAGTATCTAAGCATATTTGCAAACTCATGTCATTCATATCAAATATTACATAGATCCAACCCACCGACCTAATATTTGACCTGATTTATAACGTTAAAATTATGGATTTCACTGGTTTATCAAAATTTCTCCATCTCTAATCCAAACTAAAACTGAAAAAATTGGATTCTTCAGATTTTTATTTTTTATCCAAAATCGATCTACTCATTATCACTCAATTTATTCTCTTTCATCTAAAATTGATTTTCATTTATAATAGACAAGATTAGCGATAATGAAAAACACAACATATTATAAGTACAGCTCGATAAAATATAACTAGTATAACAAAAACTAGGTGTTTTGCCCGCACATGCGGGCTTAATTATCTTTAAATCAATTTTAAAAAATATCAAAATAAATGATTATTTGCCTCCAAAAAGTCGATCTTACAGAAAAAATAATATTAGTTTGGATAACTATACAATATATTTGATTAATTCATGTTTAAGGTTTAACTATATAAAATATAAATATAAATTTAATTTAACGTGTGAGTTCAGAGACGAAAAATAACTTCACAAATATCTATCATTATATTATATTATTATATTCTTTTAATAAAAAATTACGTATTATATTTTTTCAATTTTCTCTTTTGAATTATATGCAATTGAAGATTTTATTTTATAAATATTTATTTATGTGTTTTCTGTTTTTGTTTTTTTTTAAAATTCCAGATAATAACACAATATATATAGGAATTATATTTTATTTTTAAAATAATTACATTTTATAATTTTTCAATTTTCTCTTTTTAATTATATACAATGAAATTTTTTATTTTATGAATATTTAATTATGTGTTTTCTGATTTTGAGTTTTTTTTCTTAAAAATATATTTTCCGGATAACAACACAATATATATAGGAATTATCTTTTTATTTTTAAATATATATTTAGAGTATGGATAATTCTTATTATTATTATCAGTTTAAATCATTTATATAATCAAATAAATATTAAATTCGTTTTTATTTTTGGCTGATTTATATATATTATTCATTAAGGGTATAAACGATATTAACCACTCCAACTTTTAACGTGAGAGCTCCGTTACGAAAAATCACTTCGCAAATAATAGTATAGATAGATGTCTACAACTAATATAATTAGTATAATTACAGCACACATAATTAATATAACCGATACAATTAAAATATATCATTAGTATATTTTATACAATTTGAACATGTATAACTAGTATATCTTTGTAACATTTGTTCATATAATAGATAAGAACTATGTGAAAAATAGTAAAGAAAATAATGAAGAAGATAAAGAATACTTTAAGAATTATTCATAGCTAACAATGTTGACACTGTGTAGTCATTCTCTACTTTTTATCAATTTATTCTATTTTGTCAACCATTGTGGAGTTATCCAAAAATATATCTACCGAAAATTTTTGGGGAAGAAAAGTTACGTGACTATTGATTGCATAACTTAAAAAAACGACTAATACTATCATACTAAATATTATCATACAAAATCTACTAAAAGAATCTAAATTTGATTTTTTTTTACCAAAAAACACACAATAAGAAAAATAACATTTCATTAAAAAGTAAATGACAATTGTATTCATATTCTACAAATATATAAATATGAATAAATAACAAAGAAAGATTTCGACAAAAACTTTATTTAAGATTCAAAACTATTCTGAAATTTTCAAACTTTATTTTAAAAAATATTCTGAATCTAAAATTTCCTTTAAAAGTATTTGTAAAATTGTTATTTTAAATTCTAAACTACACTTCTGAAATCTATTTTCAACATTTAAATTCTGAATTTAGATTAGTTAATTATATGGATATAAATATATTTATTTAATGATATTTATTTTGATTATCGTAAGCTACTTTTATGATAAAAATCTTAGTGCTATATTAAGATATTTTTCATCTCTTTAAAAAAATTGTAAATATCGTGTATATACATCATCAAGTAAATTTGAATCATTATCATGTTTATCTACAATGAATAATAAATATGTGAATTTGGAATATCTTCTAGCTAAAGTCGTTTGTGGATTTTACTGGGAATATTCTTTTTTAACTGTGGAATTTTACGCACGGGTGAATAAAATACCGGTTAATTTATAACCGAACCGAACCGTTTAATTCTAAATCTAATGTTGCTCCAAGAGTCGCCACAAAAATAATATTTTTCCTACTTCTGAGTTGAACGAAGAATCCAATGGAAGAGAAGAAGAAGAAGAAGAAACCATCAAAGAAGAGCGAATTCGAGTTCTGCAAGGTGTGCCGATTCCATCACGACCAAGGCCCTCGACACAAGTACTTCCCTCGCCACAAGGAGCTCCTCTCCGCTTTCCTTAATCGATTCCGATCCAAAATAGCCGACGTCAGATTCTTCCTCAAAAACCCTAGCATTCTACGGCCACAAGAGGAGTCTCAAAACCGTGTCTGGTGTGTCTTCTGCGATGAGGACATCGTTGAGATCGGTAGCTCCTTTGCATGGTACGACACTCCCTTGATTGGAGTTTGTCTGAACATTAATGTTTTGATAGAAGGAGAAAAACATAAAGCTTAATGTTTTGTCTGCTATGTAATATCTTATTGTTTGTGTTAGTTCTAAGGCAATTAATCACTTTGCAAGCTCCGAGCATCATAAGAACATCAAGCAGTTTCTCTGGAAACATGGCCCATCGATGGATTGTGTTGACGATTTCCAAATTTCAGATGCTGATGTAGCTAAGGTAAGTTCTAGAAGATTATATTCTCTTTATGTGTAGTCTTGAAGATAATAACTCGTTGAGTTCTGTAATAAAACTCTGTTTATGGTGGATGCAGTGGGTGAGAAAATGCACGGCGTTGGGAAATAAAGATGCATCTTCTTGTAGAGGACAGCTTTCCGGGACATCTAATGATATCCAAAATAATATTGAGTTTGAAAGAAGTGAAAAAGTTCAAACACACTTTATTAATCCTAATGATTTAAATGATGTTAAGCCTTTACAGTATTATACGAATGAGTATCAGATATCACATTCAGGAGTTTCACATTATGGTTCACAACTGAACGTGGGTGCTTCTCATCTCCCTCCAGGTTGGTGTCTACTTGATTTTCATGATGAATGTTTCATCTTCTTGGTTTCATTAATATAGCTGATATGATAAGCATTAGTTTTAATGGAATGAGTTTTTTGCTCTTCTTTTATTTGTTTATTTGTCAGGTGTGATTGGAATAACTAGCAGTTCTTCCTCACATTCCAGCGATGCTAGCGGGAACGTGCACTCTGGAGCTCCCCCTCCGTGGCTTACTCCAAGTGATGTGAATATCTTCAGTGGTCAGCTAAACCAATCAGACATGACCAGAGTTCAGGAAAAGATACCTGCGAAGACTAGTAAGCTGAATCCTCATAGGGTTGGTGCTGCATGGGCTGAAAGGAGAAAGATTGAGATGGAGATGGAGAAGAGAGGACTAGCGGTGCATAGTAACATTGATGCAGATTGGCTTCCCAACTTTGGTCGAGTTTGGCAATCAGGCACTCGTAAAAGTTCTAGAAAAGAATTTGAGAAGGAAAAACGGAAGTTAGTCAAAACTGATAGCATCTCTTTGGAATCAGAAGAACGGAAGTTAGTCAAAACTGAAAATATCTCTATGGAATCAGAAGAACCAGTCCAAATACAACCATACATTAGCAAACGGGCGGTATGTTTTACCTTTATAATACTATACGTGTTTGTTCTGACTGATATCTCTTTAAGCGATTGTTTTGCCGTCTTCCTTTTAAAATTCTCATTTACTCACAAGTAGATAGATAGGTGTTGCTTTTACCGTTTTACTGTTATTAATTTCTACGTCGAGAAGTACATCTCAGTAACCTTAGGTGCGTATATTTATTGTGATTGCAGCGAAGAGAGAAGAGTGGTGAGTGATGCTTGTGGCTGACATTCAAAATGGAAACGAGTACGGATCATTCTTGTTGAAATTTTATAACCCTCTTTTCTTGGAGAGTTCTGAAAGAATTTTAGAGGCATGTGATCCTGAATACTCCTTTGAATTAGTGTAAGAAAATGGAGACAGTTTTGTTTTTGTACTGGAATCTTATGCAGTATCATAGCAAACGCCTTTCTGCTATTATCTAATCTTCCTTCTGGTTCTTTAGATGTTTGTCTTAGATTCTTGTGTGGTGTTTGGTCTATACTTTGTGGCCATTTCCATAAGCTTATCCGTTTTCTACTTGGACATATACTGTAGTGGAATGACATTTGCCAAAACCTCTGATTGCTACTTTACATTGAAAGGCTTATTTGAAAGTATGTTTTTCTACACTGTTAGGAGCCAAAGACACAGTAGTGTGTCTAACTGAAGGAGCAACATTCTTGCTCTGAAACTAGATGTACATTTATTTTGCTAATATCTGACCAGGGATGTTTCTGGCGAGCAAAACCTAGATGTAGTTGTCTGACCCTTGATCCGAAACTTCCAGAAGTTTCCTTTAGCTGAAACCTGATTCTCTTGGCACAAGAATTCCCAGGAGAACCACTTCTCAGCAGTCCTTTGCACATCATGCACGAAAACATCTGTTGTTGAGTTACTACCTCCTCTTCTTGCTAACACAGCTGCAGTATATATACTCCCCATCCTACCTGGCGCCTCTGAGTCATCCCCACGTGGCCCATCGACAACGATCACATCCCAATTGATGTTGTGTACTTCCTGTGGCAAATCTCTCAGTTTCAATTTGCAGTCTGGTGAGCCTTGATGTAGATCATTCATATTTGGTGCGCATACCGGATTAGACCGGGCATGTCGAAGCAGCTTGTAAGTGTTTTTGACTTCCATCTGATGGTATTTCAAGCTATAGACTCTTGTGTTGTTTGGTGTCGTTATCTTTGAAGGTTCATCTTCTAGAATGACGGTAACGCCTCCTGTGTTTAATGAAGATAACATGAGGTATTGATGTGCAAACCCGAAAACAAGAACGTTGCACGGGGATCTAAGAGCAATGGTATCTGATAAGAGCTTGAGTTCCTTTTCCGTGAGAGCGCTCTGGCTCGCGTTAGCCTGGTGACTAGACTCAGCGGGACTCAACCGGAATGTAGTTGAAGAGAAGGGTCGAGACGCAGGAGATGAAGACTTCAATGAAATACGGAGGAGTCGAAGAACAGAGAGGCTTGAAAGAACGAAGATAAGAAGAGGTATGAGTTTACGAACAGTGAGCTTTGGCATTGTAAACTTTGATTCTCTCTGGTGCTTGGGATTATCAGGGGAGGAAGGAGGTGAGAATCTAAGTAGAGGGTTGAGAATAGGAAGTTGAGATTGATGAAGTTGTGGAGGCATTATTACTATTCTCACCTTTTACGCAATACACCAATCAGTTTCTCAGAAGATTCTGGTTAATGGTATTTGAGTCTTCGTGGCTTTTAAATGATCAACAATGTGTCTTCTTCGAGTGAGTAAGAAGGAAAGGTCGTTTTGCTTCTATTCTAAGATTCTCTCTTGTTCTTCTTTTTCTTTGTTGTCATGTCATTTGCTATGTTAGTTCGGGTTTACCTAATATCATTATTATCTTATGATTGTTTATTTGTCATATCATGGGAGTGGCACAGATATTGGTCAAAAGAATTAAAATTGTATCAATGTGATTGCAATGGGTTGGAACATGTTTGGTGAATTGGTTGGCTCCATGAAACTCTTGGACAAGTTTTCAAACACAGAGACCATACTTGACGCTGTCCTTTTTTCTTCTTGTTTGATAATTGATGCAGTGGCTCAGGGCTGTTGTTGGTTGGTTTTAGGGGCTGGCTCAACATTATTATGAATTCTAGAGATAAAATTAAGAGATTGTTAGTGGGAATTAGATTGATGTGTTAGTTTGGGCTTACCTAATCTCATTATTTTTATTAGTGGCAGCATAATGGTCAAGAGAAATAAACGTGCATCAATCATCAATGTGATCGCGGTAGGGTTGACATGTTTAGTTGATTGGTTGCTTCTATGGTGTTGAACCGGAGGAAAAAGTGTTGATAATGTAAGAAAATGCTCTTGGTAGATTTTATGCAAGTTTCGTAACCAAAATTAAGTGTTAGCCTTGTCTCACCCACATACACAAAAACATGCAATTTTCAACAGCCAAGTAAAAATAAAAACAGTGACATATATTAAATAGAATTCTGCAATTTTTAACAAAAGCTTTACTCTTTCGAGCATCTGAATCAAAAAAAAAAAAGTGAAGTGTCTTCTTGAAACAACAAAGCTGTAACTACTAGCCTCCTCCCATCATCCCTGGTTTATCTGCAAACATGCCACACCAAAAGTTATAGGACTAGACCCCAAAGATTGCAAATACAAGGTCAAAACCTAATCCACTCTTACTTGGCAGTTCATCCAAACATCTTCCATTATGCATATTCCCTTATCATGTTAAATTCAATGTTCATGATCGAATCACAAAGTATCTCTATTAGCATTTAGATTAAGAAAATCTTTAGATTACATGACAACCAAACTTAGAAGACTATCACCCATACTTAGACCAAACGAGCAGTTGCATAAACTCAATTTTAATTTCATATTGCATGTTAGTTATATAGGCGTACCAAATTAAAAGTAGAAAGTGGGTGAAGAGGAGGATCTACCTTAAGTGGCACCGACGATGATGTTGTTGATGGGAATAAAGATGAGCTTCACAAAGAATCCGACAAATCCCATCACTACAAACCCAATAGCTGTACGGACCGCCACTTTCGTGAATTCTACGACCAAACCAAACACATAATCAGACAAATCTTATTCGTCATAAAAAAACAACACAGATCTCTCGACATTTAACATACAGATCTTCCCATCCGCAAAAGCAACAAAAAAACGACAGATCCAGCAGCTCAGACGGTTCAAACACACAGATCGCACATGCATGACTATCTAAAGACACGGATTCTTAAACTAAATACAGGAACGCGAGATCCATTTGACCGAGCTCGTTCGATCTCTGGGGAAATAAGGTGTTGAATACCTTTGCGATCTGGTTTGTGGCAACGCTTAACGAGACGAATGCTGTCCTTGGCAAAGTCTCTAAGAGGATCTACGACAGAATCGATGGCGTCCATGGCGTTTTCTTTGACTTTTTTTTTTTTAATCTGTGTTTTTCTTCTTTTCTTATTTTTCTGGATTGGTATAAGCAGAAACAAATGATATATGGAGGCTGAAGTCAAGGAGAAACCGAGAACGTCACATGGATATAGAAGAGCCAATCACAGACCGAGCCTCTCTTGATGTAATGCCATGTCAGCAAAGTCACATACCTGGGGCCCTTGTAAGCCCACTTAAAGCCCAATACCAGCCCATATTACTTACCAGCAATCAGCATTACAAAAGATAGGCTCTCAACCAATACTAGAGGAATGATGTAGAATTGGTATCCCATGAGAGCAAAGAACATCTAGAGACTGAAGCATGTTTTAGTTTCATTCAAACCCCCCCCCCCCCTTCCCCAACATAGAAGTGGAATAATATCATTGTCTAAAATAGTTTATTTTCATTGGAACTGATGGCATTCTATTCCTAAGCATAAAAGTAACATTTGCAAGTTATGTAACACATCATCTATACCTCATCAACTGAACAGGCTCACTATATAGCTTTCTTATAGACTCTCAAAGGAAACTCATAATGTATAAGTATCGACTTGTAAAGTGATGAATAAACAAAAAAAGCAGCTAATTGTTGTAAGGGAAAGCATTAAGAGAAGACTCCTCCATGTCAAAGGTAGGAGCATACCAACCAAGCTCGTCGATAAGCTTCTTCATCCTCTCCTCTTGTCCCTTCGAGTCTCCAAAAGCAGTTGTGAATGGATACACAAACGTAACTTTAGTAGCCATACACCTGTAAGCAACCACATCTTGCTTCACAAGAAACTCCATCACATCTCTGCTCTGGTTAAATCCTCCTCCTTCTACCTCCACCTCCAGATATCTCCCTGTCATTTTTTGTATCCTTATTATAAACTTATGATTTTTACTCAAAACCAATCATTTCTATGATGTTTTTGCTTACCTTCTGGTTTATCTTCAATAACCACAAACTTGGGATTCTTCTGGGTTTTTGCTATTGCTTCCTTCAGTTTCTGTGTAAACAATAATCAGCAACAAACCTGAACTGTGAAAAAAAGGAGATGACAAAAAGACCTGGATTGGATCCTGTGTATCAGTTTCTGGGATTGTCAATGGAAATGTAAAGGAAGAAGAGGTGGGATTTGTTGATACACATCCTGGGTTTGTGGAAGGACAAGGTCTGATTTTGCTGTAAATAACATAGAATCAATCAGGACATAACATAGTGAGGGAAAGAAATGAGAGAAGAGGGAACAAACCCGTTGAGGAGACCGGTCTGGGCGAACTTCGATTGGGTGAAAGGAGTAGTAGTGAGAGGCTGAGAAGAGGAGAGAGAAGGAATGGCTAAGGCAGGTGAAGAGGTGTTGAAAGATAAGGCAAGAGCAAAAGATATTAGCTTTGGTAATAGAGAAGAGGAGAGGTGCTGTGTTGTTGGGTCTTTCAATGAACACACGAGCTTGGTGGTGGTGCTTCTCGGTCGTTGCGGAAGGATGTTGAGTTGCAAATTTGCGACCAAAGTCATGTCTGAATGGTTGTTGTTTGTTACTCTCTGCTCCTCCAAATATTATTTATTATATTCCACTTTGCAAGATTGTATATATTTTTATTTTGGTTATTCTTATGTGTTTATTATCTCATCCGGTGGTCTTCCTAACTCTCTAGTAATTTTTATCATGGATTAATGTTGATCTTAAAATATAGTTGAACCCATCATCATTTAGGAAATTTGATAAAAAAAATTATAGGAAAATTTGTTTTTAAAGCCAAAAAATACTATTGTACCATTTTTACCTCTAATAATTTTTAGTATTTTCAAAAATAAATTAAATAAATAGTTTTATATACAAAATTAGAAAATAATATATATACTGATAAAATATCTATATCAATTTAGTGGTATTTTTTCAAGTTCTCAAATATCTAAATCATAATTTCAAATTATGTTCAACGTAAAGGAGAATAGACATTCTATGAAATAGAAAATGAAACCCACATTTTTCATTGAATTTGATACGTTTATAATACATGTTCTACGTATATAATAATGCTAATCCAAAATTATTTGAAATACACATCTCACACTTAACATATCCCTCTAAAATAAGTAGAAATCAGAATCTACACGTTACTTATAAATACAATAATAATGTTTTAACTAATCTTTTTACAACACTTTATTTTTTTCTTTTATTTTAATTACTTTAGTTTTTTTACAACACTTTAATTATTTCTATATTTTAATATTTAACTATTATTTTGTTAATTGTAATTTCGAATTTTTAATTTATAATTAAAGGTATTATTGTCATTTTGAAAATATTTAATTTTATATAACATAAAATATATTAGATTAGTCTAGTAAGACATAGTTACCATTTTTTGTCTTACAAAAATAAAATTTCCAAAATTATAATTGTCAAAGTCCAGCGTAACTAATCATTCATGATGAGTCTGTTAATTATTACAGTATATGGCTTTAGTTCGGTGTAACTAAAAAAGCACATTGAATTCAATAACTATTTGACTCTTCGGTAATGAAAATCGTCTTTGACTCTTGAATAATTATTTATCCTCTTCTCATGCCTCTCGCTTTATTTATGTAAAGTTTTTCTTTATGGTTTCAATATCTTACTCTGTTTGAAAAAAGTGGAATAGAGGATGAAAAGAAATTCACCGGAGAAAGAAGTTCTGTTTTCACGTTTTTGCAGGTATTTGTTTTACATACTTTTAAATATTACGTATCTCATAAATGTCATAGTGGAAACGCAAAAACCGACGTAATCTGAACTAACACAAAGGTACTTGTGGCAAAAGGACAATTACACATTGTTTTGATGCCATAAGAAACGCTCAGTAATATGGGGTTTGCGACTGATCACAGTAATCTCATTAGGCGCCTCTAAAGATTTGCAGAAACACTATTAGTAACTATAGTATAATGCCATCTCATAGATTAAATTTTAAAAAAACCTCACTTTAGACAAATACATATGTTTTTGAAGAGTTATTTTCTTTTTTCTTTTTTTTTTTGTTTGGCAAATGAAGAGTTATTTTCTTAACACTAGAGTTAATCAGAAGAGTAATAATCTAAGCCAAAAAAAAAAAAGAAAAATTAAAAATCGTTTTTCCCTTAAAAAAAAAACCTTGTTGACTTGAATGGCTGGCACACTCGGCGAACTTGGACCAAAACTCGACCTTTCAAGAGTCTAACTCTAGGGTTTTCGCAAGCTCCTTTTATTTTCATGATTACTCAGTAAATACATAATCAAAAATCTCAGTTTCTGATTTTGGTTGAATTGGTAGATTGAATTTGAGAATGGACGGAGAAGAGCTCACCGCGCAGGAGACGGCCTTGTACGACCGTCAGATTAGGGTTTGGGGCGCTAATGCTCAGCGAAGGTTACTTCTTCTCTCTTCAGATTACTATTACTCAAACACTTAATCTAGCTTTGGTTCGAGTAATAAACTATTAAAGTTGATTCCTTTTTTCTTTGCAATTCGCATACCGAGTTGGTAGATAGAGTTTCTGCTTCTAGAATAGTGACCTGGTAACTTCTGAGTTTCGTTTAGGTTGTCCTGAGGATGAGACAGTATCATAGTACTTACTTCAAAGTTTGTTCCTTTCAGCCTGTATGATACCAATTATGCTTTGGTTCGAGCACTAAACTCTTAAAGTTGATTTCTTTCTTGCAATTCGCTACCTAGTTAGTATATAGAGTCTCTGCTTCTAGAATAGTGGCCTGGTAACATATCGTTTAGGTTGTTCTGAGATGAGACAGTATCATAGTAGTTACCTTCAAGTTCTAGTAGAGTATTTGGTTTTGGGATCCGCTGAAGCTCTCTTCATTGAAAGAGTACACTATCATGTAATTACTGTGTAAGCTTGGAAACCATTTGATATAGTGTGAGTGTTGGTGTTTTTTGCTTGCAGATTGACCAAATCTCATATACTGGTCTCTGGAATAAAGGGGACTGTTACTGAGGTAGATGTATCTCTATAACTTTTGCTGAGATCTCCTGCTTTTTTTGGATTGGTTAATCTGATGGTATCTTACACTACATTACTTGGCTTTTGGTTTTGGGGGGTAGTTTTGCAAGAACATTGTGCTGGCAGGAGTTGGGAGCGTGACTTTAATGGATGATAATTTAGTGAACGAGGAGTCCTTGAACGCAAACTTCTTGATTCCACCGGATGAAAATGCTTACAGAGGCAAAACAGTGGCTGAGATTTGTTGTGATTCTCTTAAAGACTTTAACCCTATGGTCCTTGTTTCTGTAGAGAAAGGTTTCCCCTCTGAGGCATACACCCTCTCCCTTATATTGTTTTAATAAACACTACTGTCTGATAATTTATTCTCAAATCTTTTAGGTGATTTGTCCACACGCAGCACTGAGTTCTTCGAGAAGTTTGATGTAGTGGTTATAGGCTACGGTTCTCTTGCTACCAAAGTAATTGTCAAACAACTTTTATACAACTCTTTGGTTCTTCCATTTATCACTCCATAACCGTTGTTCTCTTTTGTTGCAGAAAGCTGTTAATGAAAAATGTAGGAAGCTATCGAAACGAGTAGCATTCTATACAGTCGATTGTAGAGACTCATGTGGTGAAATCTTTGTCGACCTTCAAGATTACAAATACACAAAGGTACCATGTATGATTTGTATGCCCGAGTATGTTCTATTTTCTGACTTCTCTTTGTGGAACTTCAACAGAAAAAGCTTGAAGAGAAGGTTGAATGTGAATTAAACTTTCCAAGTTTCCAGGTACAATCTATCACACTAACTTCCTCTGGTTTTGAATAAGTCCTTACATCTGATGTCGTTTGTGGTTTAATTGCCGTAGGAAGCAGTATCAGTACCTTGGAAACCAATTCCTAGGAGAACAGCAAAGCTCTACTTTGCCATGAGAGGTGCTTACTAGTTACTTAAGCGTATAAATGATTTTATTGGTTAATTTCAATAAACATTTGACTGAATCTTTTGGTGTTTCATGAAAAATGTACAGTAATCGAAGTGTTTGAGGAGAATGAAGGGCGTAAACATGGAGAATGCTCACTACTTGATCTTCCCACAGTCTTGGAAATCAAAAAGAAACTCTGTGAGGCTAACGTGAGTGTTTCTTTTATTTCTTTCTATTCTTTATAAACATTAGTCACATCACTGACAAAAATGAAAACTGGAACAGTCCGTGAGCGAGAGCCATATACCAGATAGCCTCTTGGAGAGACTCATCACTGGTACTATCGAATTCCCACCAGTTTGTGCTATTGTAGGAGGAATACTAGCACAGGTTATATCTTCTCTTTCACTCACTCTCACTTTCTGCAACAGAAATTTTCTAACTAGAGACTTGTAATTCTGACAAAAGAGAGAGGGTTTGTTGATGGTTGCAGGAAGTGATAAAAGCAGTATCAGGCAAAGGAGAGCCGTTAAAGAACTTCTTCTACTATGATGCTCAAGATGGGAAAGGTGTGATGGAAGACATTTCCAACTCTTTTACCTCTTAAACCAGCGAGCGAGCTAGTCCTTCATTTTATTTAATAAGACTGTTTATTATCTGAATCGTTTCTTTTGAATTCTTCTAATGTTCGGTTATGATGTTTCCTTGTTTGTAGAATATTTTGTTCAGCAACGGATAATTTGAATTGTCAGTTTCATGTTTCGAATTTATAAGAGTAAAAATTAAAATTGAAATAAATAGTAATTAGTGAGATTTCACAGCAAGATTTTCGCCCTCTTTAAAACGTTGGTTCTGTTTACATTCTACTCTTTAACTCTTAGTCAAGCAAGATTTTCTGGAGGAAGGAAAAATGGAAGAAAAACACGAGAGATTGAATAAGCAGTTCAGTGAGCTTGAAAAGGAATGGGCGGCCATGAAAACAGGCAAAAGCTCATCTGCAATTTCGTGTACCAGTACTATTGAAGAAGCTCTGGAGTTTGTGGAGAACTCTCCAAGAAAGCTGATGATCTCTCTCCAATATGACCAGGCTTGTCCAGAGGCAGAGATGAGATCACCCTGTAGGAGAAAGCTCTTTCACGACTCTGATGATAATGATGATGATGATGAGACCAAGATGACAATGTTGTCTCATTCGACTTGTTGGTCTTCCAATGTGATAAGAGTGGGAGATACTAATAACAAGGAGAAGAAGAAGAAAAGAGGAATGATTGTCTGTGTTAGTGTGTTTGTTATTTTGATAATGTCCATGTTTTTGGCTGTAGTGGTGATAGATGGTTTTGATGACCATAGGCAGATTAATACTTTGGTTCCTACTTGATTTTTTTGTTTTGTTTGAGAGGCTCATCAAACTCAATAAAGCAAAATGGTTTTGTGCTTAGATGAAAGATGCAAGTAGAAAAATGCATTAGTAAAAAAGTTATCTTTTTGAGACATGGTAAAGAGAAAAAGGGTACATTAGTAACCAAAAATATATGTCATTGGGTCTATTTAAAAGCCCATTAAGAGGCCCATATACACAACTAAACGAGAAACCCTAAATGCTCGATTGCATATCTTTCGTCAGCCACTAGAATATCAGTTTCTTCTCTCTTTGCGTAAACAGCTGCTGTGGAAAAATCTGAAAATGGTACAACTCGAGATCCCTTGTTCTTAAATTTATTCATTCGCAAATCCATTAACAATTCCATCTACTTACTTCGTTTTAGATTCTATATTGTATCATTTGTTTCACCAATCCCAAAAAGTGATTTTAATCTCCATCTTTGTAGTGAACTAGCTGTGTTAATTGATTCTTTGAGCTTCTGTTCTTATTGTTTAAGCTTCAACCTGTAGAAATAAATAGTATAAGAAGAGTTCTTAAGTATGTGTGTGTGATTGAAACTGGCCTTCTTTGTTTCAGTGTTAGCTTGCATAACTCTGTATAATATAAATTGATTGGTACTTTGTTAGTTTGTTAGCTACATGGTTAATCTAGTTTATAATTCTTACTTGGTAGAGAAGCTTCTAACTTATTAATCAATAGCTACTTGTAGTCTCTAGTTTGTTTCCTATCATTCTACGTGTCTCGTTCGACTTGTTATTACTAAAAGCTTCGATTTTTTTCAATTGGTTTTAGGCCCCGAAGAAAGGAGTTAAAGTGGTTGCCAAGAAGAAGTCGGTATGTGATTTTTGTTTTAATAGAAAAGTGTTTACTAAACACTTTTCTTTGTGTGTATACTTGGTTGTAAACATTTTTCTTGGTTTCAGGAGAAAGTGACAAACCCTCTCTTTGAGAGGCGTCCCAAGCAGTTTGGGATTGGAGGAGCATTGCCACCCAAAAAGGATCTCACCAGATACATCAAATGGCCAAAATCCATTCGCCTCCAGAGGCAGAAGCGTATTCTGAAGCAGAGGTTGAAGGTTCCTCCAGCACTTAACCAGTTCACTAAGACCCTTGACAAGAACTTAGGTATTTCATCTCTTTCCCTTTTCTCAGTGTGGATTCTATCTGTTGGCATTACCCTCTAGCAAAAACTTTAACTCAATGTCTGTATAATTGCAGCGACATCTCTGTTCAAGATTCTGCTCAAGTATAGGCCTGAGGACAAGGCAGCCAAGAAGGAGCGTCTTCTCAAGAAGGCTCAGGCTGAGACTGAGGGAAAGACTGTTGAATCCAAGAAGCCAATTGTCGTGAAGTATGGTCTTAACCATGTTACATACCTCATTGAGCAGGTCCCTTTCTTTTCCAGAACTAATTCAGTTGTTATCCTCTAGGAATTAATAAGCTTTCTGTAGGAATCTTTTCTGAAACCTGTCCACTTTGTGTGATTGCAGAACAAGGCACAATTGGTGGTGATTGCTCATGATGTGGACCCAATTGAGTTGGTCGTATGGTTACCTGCACTGTGCAGGAAAATGGAAGTTCCATACTGCATTGTCAAGGGGAAGTCACGATTGGGAGCGGTAATAATATGATTGCATTCTCATCTTTACAAAGCCATTTAATCTGATTAGTTATCTAATTACTATGTTGATGACTTGTTGCTACAGATTGTCCATCAGAAAACAGCAGCTTGCTTGTGTTTGACAACAGTGAAGAACGAGGACAAGATGGAGTTCAGCAAAATCCTCGAGGCCATTAAGGTGAGATGCTTGTTTCATTTTCCTTTGCTACTCTTGTTTAGTTTCTGTATTAATGAATACTTAACGGTTCCCATTCTCTGATATAGGCGAACTTTAACGACAAGTATGAGGAGTACAGGAAGAAGTGGGGAGGTGGAATTATGGGATCTAAATCACAGGCCAAGACCAAGGCTAAGGAGAGAGTCCTAGCCAAGGAAGCTGCTCAGAGGATGAATTAGACTTTGCCTTGAATTTACACTGTTTTGGTGGAATCTAGTTTTTTAAAACTTTAAATGAAAGTCTTTTGTTTTAGCTCCTGTGATGTCTCTAGATGTAGCATTTCCTGCTTGAATACCTTTAGATTTCAACTTGAGCTTTACAGAGTTACTTTTTGATAAGAATAAAATTTTGCGTATTTGATGATAAGTAAGAAGAAAAGCAAAGCATTTCTGTGAACTTGTGAAGCTTAATCTTTGGTGTAAGAATCTCTAATCCCGTTAATGACACGAGTTTTCCTAATCAACAAAATGATAAAATAAAGCATCCAAGAATTTTTTTTTTTAAAAAGTAAAGCAATGACGAATGCACTCACTGGCCGACCTTGTGTTCTTTTGAGGTCGGTGATGCGCTCAGGTTAGAATACTATTTTCTACGGTTCTCTCGCCACGTGTCACAATCGTGTCAATGAGCTAAACCGATTAGAACCAGACCGGAGCAGTTAATAAACCGACCGACATGAGCATTGAGCAGAGCCAATGAAAAGAGTGTGAAACAACTGTAGCGCAAGTTTCTCCAAGATATTTTTCTATAAATTTAGGCTCTTCCTTTCGTATCTATTGTCGTCTTCTTGCAGAGAAATTTTTTTAAAGAGCCTCGAAAATTTCACAAACTTGTCTCCTTTTCTCTCTTTCTCACTCTTTCCAAATTTTAGTAGCTTCTGAAAATTTCACAGCCCTAAACACAAGAAAGAAAAAAATGAGCAAGTTCTGGACTTTCCTCACTGCTCTTCACTCAGGCGCTGGGTATATATTTCATTTCTTCCTCATCTTAACATTTCTTTTTATAAATTTATCTCAAGCTTTTTTTACAATTTTATAAAGTAAATATGCTTTAGATCTCTAATATTGTTTTGGTAATGTATATGCAGTCCCCTAGTGATGTTGGTGTATCCATTGTAAGTTCCCCTATTTCGATCTATCTTTTCTTTTTTAAATCATGAATTTAAGTGAAAAAATAATGATTTAATTTGAAGGTACGCATCGGTGGTGGCAATGGAGAGCACAACGAAAGTTGACGATGAGCAGTGGCTTGCCTACTGGATCATTTACTCCTTCCTCACCCTCACAGAGCTGATTCTGCAGTCGCTTCTTGAGTGGATCCCTATTTGGTATTCTGTGAAACTTGTGTTCGTCGCTTGGTTGGTTCTGCCTCAGTTCCATGGCGCAGCTTTCATCTACAACCGTGTGGTGAGAGAACAGTTTAAGAAACATGGCGTCTTTGGTTCCTCTTCTCACACAAAGCACTCCAAGCATACCAAACCCAACATCATCAACTCCATTTTCCACCGGGTAATAATGATACCCATTTCTCTCTTTTTTATTTAAATAACCAAAAGAAACGTCAAAAAGTAACTATGGTTATTGAATTAATTGGTGGTCAAAGGAAAGAATAAACTTTTTTTTTCTAGATTATGCATTTAATCATATTTGTTAATCCTAGGAAACGTAACAATAACTCTAACGTTAGCGAGTTTTTTAATAATTTCAGTGATTTATATCCTTCGGTTAATTTGATTTGAATAGGAGGGACACGAGGGTCACTCTCACTGATGCCAAAGCGGAGGAGAAGCTCGAATAGCATTGTAATGGGAGTTGGTGGTGGCCCCTCTTGTCTTAAGTCTAATCTTACTTTTGCTTTAGTTTTATTTAATAAAAATTGTTGGGTCTGAGACTCTGAGGAATATGATGATGACTGATGAGGTGTGTGATCGTTTTAAATTAGAAATGGCTTCTTGTTGTTGTTGTTGTATTGCTTAGCTTCCACGCGTTTTCCATTTGGTAACACAAGTGTTAAACCCCTATTGGTCAATCACTTTCTAATGTTATGACTTGTGAGAATAATTAGTCTTCATTGCATATGAAAATTGAAAACAATCAAATAATTCCCTTACTAAAACTTGATGTCTTAAAAAAGAAAAAAATTGTTCATCATCATCATCATCTACTTACACTAACAATGTAACTAGAAAATTAGAAATCACTAATAAACATTGTAAGATTAGATTCATAATCATAATTCATAAACACACAAGTCTTGATCATAATTCATAATCAAAAAGTTCACAACACATGTTTCTTTGTATTCTTTTGAAGTCTTGAACCTATTATAACCCATTTGCCGAATTTGTTTTAAGAAAAAGCTATAGGCTAAAGTTCATAGCTTTATTGATAAATTAAAGAATGAATATTCGAATAAATAATATGGAGTATAAAATTTGTATGATACGAAATTTCTGTCATGTACAAAACTACAACAAACCGACAAAAAAAATTACAGTAGGAAGAAACCAAGTAAAAAAGTAAAGAGTGTGACGGGCAAGCAATAACGTTATTAGGAGTAATAAAAGTGGAGTAATTCAGAGTAAAACTTGTAGAGTAAATACTCCCTCTGTTTCATTATAAGTGTCACTCTACAGTTGTGCACACGGATTAAGAAAACAATTAATTTTACATATTTCCTATATAAAAACACAGTTACCAATACACCTAACCATATTTTAACCAATAGAAAAACAAATTACATAATAAAATTAATAAATTTTGCATTGAAAACCGAAAACGACACTTATTTTGTAACGCAAAAAATTCTCTACAACGACACTTAATATGAAACGGAGTAAAATACTAAGTGGGTGTTATTGGTTTTGAAAGTTTAATGGAATTTGATAGAATGTAAATCTGGAAAGAAATCCACTGTTATTCAATTGGGATTTGATGAATGTGAATTAAAATCCAGTGTTATTGGATTAAGAATGTGTTAAACATATTTCATAGGAATTGAAATCACCTGTTATTCAATTCCAAATGGATTTTATTAGAATTGAGGTTTAATAGATTATGATGTACTTTTCATCACAAAATAAGCTTAAATCAAATCTGACACTTTTTATTTGGCTTTTGAAGTACTCATAGCTTCGTTCTTTCTCCTCCGTTCCTCACCACCTCGCTTCGCCTCCAACGTCTCCTCAAGGACACCAAACTTTTCACCGGATCCCTAACCACTCGACGTTTCTCTCCTCCTCCACACGTTCACCTACGTCTCGCAGTCCTACAAACCTTCCGCTGGAACCTCGTCTGCTTTGAATTGTGAAACTCAAAAACCAGAAAAGCATTAAACACAGATCATGGAATGCAGAAGGGTCTTGAAATAGATTTATGTTTACGAGTATTACCTAGTAGAGGACCAGGTCGAAAAGCAAGCTTTCTTGAAGCTTAAGCAAGGTTTGTAACTTGAAGATGTTCGTACTAGCTAGTAAGAGTAAACTAACAATTCTATGTTATTGAACAGACAATGCAGAGATTCTTCTTCGAAAGCTGTACAACTATGCAGAGGATCAACTGAATACGTTTGCTTGACTCAGATGGACCATCAGAGAATTTTAAGTTGTAGGAGGCTGAAAATAATGTTTGGAGTTTGTAACTAAACATGTTCACCAAATTTTAGCCAAAAAAAAACTGAACAGCTGATGATGCCTTTGACTTGATTAGTTGTATGAAAAAGCTTGCTGGACAGGGCACATACACTGAATTTTGCAATGCTTAGAGAGAGTAGCTTTTTTACCTGGTAACCCATTTCGAGAAGAGAAACCAGAGTGAGTCTAAACATATGCACTTTACTATATGAGACAAAGGCCCTCACGTTCTCCAGGAGAAGGTAACTTGGCCGGAAATAATCAGCAAAGGACAAGAATGTTAATATCATTTGACACTGAATTTTACTCCATGGCCTTTGGCTGTACCAGTTCATACGAGAAAATCTCTGCCAAATTGCAAAGTTTAAGCTCTCTCTTCTTCACTTATGTATAAGCAACAATCACTTAATATATACCTGACATGGAGGGCCTCCGTTGATGACATCCACTTGACCAGGCAGTGGCAGAGTACGCTTTTGGTCCTCATCAAGTTTAGCAGCGAGTTCATCAGCTTCTGCAGTAGAGATACAGTCATCTTAATCTCCACATTTTTCCATTATATCCCTGTCGAAAATTTCAAACAACTGATCACAGCACAAGAAACAGCGACAATAGCGGAGAGAGACAATGGCTCAAGAAATGTGGAAAGATGCAACTACTTAGGATTTTTTTTAACTGCTGCTACTAGTTCTATTTAATTGCAAAAGATATTATAATAATAATTTTTGAGTTTTTTAATTGTTGATTTGGATACAAAATCCAATAAAATCGTTAACAAAAATCAAAATGTATTTCACACCATTCTATTCAAATCATTCCCATCGTGAGAAGACTCCACTCAAATCTATTAAAAGAATCTTTATTACAGTTATTTTCAATTCCACTAAACTTCCAAAACCAATCAAAATCAGTCAAAAGAAGAGAGAGAGAGAGAAACCAGAAGAGAGAGAAAGTAGATCTGACCGGCGTCGGAGAGCTCCCTTAGTCTCGATGTCGGTCGGATGTTGATGATGTGTGTTTGTTCTCACTTTTTTCTATTCCCAGTTTTAGTGTTACCCTTGTGGTTTTGCTTCCGACGACGCGCTTTTCTTCGGTGGTCGTTCGGCCTGTGTCTCCGGTGTCACATCTCCTTATGATGGTCGCTCGGCTTTTGTCTCCGGCGTCGCATCTCTCTATGGTGGTCGTTCGGCTTTTGTCTCCGGCGTCGTGCCTCCCTATGGTGGTCGCTCGGTTTTTGTTTAATTAAGGTTTCGTTTGGTGTGCTTGATCTACACTTCTTGGCGTTTCTCTGTCCGATTGACTCTTTATCCCTCTTATTCTGAAACACGAAGATTGAGGGATAGATTGTAGTCGATTTGTGTTCTTGTTTGAAGCGTAGATCTGATGAAGTTTAGTTAGGGTTTCGGATGACTAGATTGTCGTCGTGGTAGCTCCGTGTTGCGGTAGAGATCTCAAGGTTCTCGGTGGAAGTTCTACGAAAAAAGGACCAAGATGAAGTTGGATGAGTCGGTGCTTAAGGCTCCGGTGAGATTCCGATGTGTTGACTCGTGAAGGGGAAGATGTGGTGGCATAGCGACGCGTGGCTTTTTCTCGTCGAGATTAGAACACGTGTCTCATAAAGGCTAAATTAAAATGGCGTACAGCGGCGGCGTCTTTTCCTTTAGGGTTTCTAGCATTGTGGCTTAGTGGGCTAAAAGGCCAAATGTTGAGTTTGCGTGTGGCTTTTGTATTGGGCTTTCATGGTTGTAATATTTGGGCTTTCGCCTAGTGGGTTTTTCACCCTTTATTAAAATTTCAGATGGAAAAAAAAAAAAAAACTTCCAAAACCAATAACACCCCCTAAAAGACAAAAAGACAAACAGAAGTTGGCGTAACTCATTTACTCTCCAAAAACCATGAGGGAAAAATAAAGCATTTATACCTTAAGTTAAACAGTAAGCAGAGAAAAACAATTAAAAAATATTAACTCTTTTCCACTTGATTGGTTTAAAAAGAGTGTAAACCAGCGTTAACTTTTATTACTCTACTTTCCTTACGCCATAAAAAGAGACACACGTGAAGTAGAACCCCTTTTTCTTACAGTAGTTTGATTGATATATGTCCGCCGCTTAACAAAAAAAAACTGTGAAAAAAGTTTCTTCTTCTTCTACTACCTCTTAGTTCTCTCTTCAAACACTTGCATCATCGTGTTCCATTCCCTATTAAATGGATAACGATGTGAAACAAGAGAATCTACAAACTCCTCCTCTTCCTCCTCTACCTGGAGAAGAAACTGTAACACTAATCGATCTATGTACCAGCGACGACTCCGACTTGGAGCAAGATGTACAACGAAGGTACAATTCTGGAGCCAAGAGACCACGTGATACTTTTGGAAGTTCCTCTGAATTAAACATGGACAATGTGAAGAAGCCAACGGTTGTTGATGAGCTAAAAGTAGTGTTGCCTGAAGCATTCGGCCAAACAATACCTCCTTCGCATAATATTCCGGCGGATCCGTGCAATGTCTTCACGTCTATGCAGCCTCCTCCTCCTCCACGGCCGGATATGTCGTCGTCGGGTAGAGTTGGGAGTTGTAAGCAGTTTTGGAAAGCTGGAGACTATGAAGGAACACCTGGTGGTGGTAACTGGGATCTTTCTTCAGGTATAAACAAAAATTTTTTTACTCAAACAACTCTCAACTTTTTTTTTTGACAATGGATTGATACTATGTGTCTTTTTGTGTCTTCTTCAGGTGGGTTTGATCATGTTAGAGTCCATCCCAAGTTCTTACATTCTAATGCTACCAGTCATAAATGGGCTCTTGGAGGTACTTTCTTTTTTATAATCATTAATCAACCTTGATTCGAGCTACATTGTTTACAATGAGCTTGCCTCTAAGTTTTATAAGTTTTTTATAAGTTAATCTGTTTTTTTTTTATATGTTTGCTTCTACAGCATTTGCAGAGCTTTTGGATAATGCTTTGGATGAGGTGTGTGTAGTTTCTAAATTTGTTAAATATAGTATTACATAGACCGATAGTAATGGTTACTTATTGATATCAGGTTGCTAGTGGAGCTACTTATGTTAACGTAGACATGCTCGAGAACAAAAAAGAAGGAAACAGGATGTTATTAATTGAGGGTATACATTTGAATTAAGCATATCTCACTCAGAGAATCTCTTCCTTTGCATAATGAGAGATCCACTTTTGTCCGCTGCTCATGTACAAACGTCCTTATCTTTGGAATGCAGATAATGGAGGTGGGATGGATCCTGAGAAAATGAGACAATGCATGTCTTTAGGATACTCTGCTAAAAGCAAACTTGCAAACACCATCGGACAATGTAATTTTTCTTTTTTTTTGTCAACCCCAGTGATAAGTTGTTATATGCTTAGAAGAAGAGACTTAATTGGGTTTATTGCTTATAGATGGAAATGGTTTTAAGACTAGTACAATGAGGCTTGGAGCTGATGTCATTGTTTTTTCACGCTGCTCTGGAAAAGATGGAAAGTGGTTAGTTTTTTGTTACCAATTTGTTACCGTTCCTGCTAGCATGTCTAAAAATCTTTTTGGTGTGGAATATATTTTCACCACTTAAGATTATGAACAACAGCTTTTGTAATAGTTTATTTTACTTAATGTTGGTTGTAGCTCTACGCAGAGCATCGGACTCCTATCATATACGTTTCTGAGGAGCACGGGAAAGGAGGACATTGTTGTACCCATGGTAACCTCTCTTTGTATGATTGTGTGTGGCAATGTTGCATAATAACTCCATGGTCTCCCACTTGGCTTCTCCATTCTGAATGGCATGCTGATATGATTCTTTGGATCTTTCGTTAGCATGTGATTCAGTGGTACGCATTAGTTAGGCTCCCTCTTTCAGCACCTTAGTTTGTATTTGAATGTGTAATTGTTTCTCCATTACTGGTTTATCACTGAGACTTAGCTTTGTTTATTAACTCACACACATATCCTCAATACCTATTTATATATCCTCATGTGATTTAAACGACCAGCTTGACTACGAAAGAAGAGACAATGAATGGAGTAAACTCGTCCGGTCTTCTCTCAGTGATTGGGATAAGAATGTGAAAACAATCATTCAATGGTCGCCATTCTCTAGTGAAGAAGATCTTCTTCGTCAGGTGAATATTTGAGAGGGTTTTCATCTATTACTACCCCCATTACTGTATCTTAGCAAAAACTTTTGACTAATGTGTTGTTTACTTTGTTGTAGTTTACTCTAATGAACGATCATGGCACACGCATAATCATATATAACCTGTGGGAAGATGACCAAGGGATGTTAGAGCTTGATTTTGATGCCGACCCACATGTACATGTTTTTTATGGCTCAGTGTATTATATGTGGATTAGAGTTTGAGATAATGCAGACCTTTTTATGCATAACCTATTGTCCATCTGCAGGATATACAACTTAGAGGTGTCAATCGAGATGAGAAAAACATCAAAATGGCTGCTCAGTTTCCTAATTCTAGGCATTTCCTAACCTACAAACATTCACTAAGGGTATACACATTTTCTTTCTCATTATATTTCATTTGATTCCGAAATAAATAGCTAGAAATCTGTTCTTTTGGCTAAAATTATCACTAGTCAGTCTCATGCTAGTTACTATAAACGTTTTTGAATGTGTCCTACATTGATCTGATGGTGTGGGGAGGTTAAAAGCTTATATAAGAGCATGTTACTTATATTCTACAAATGATTTCTCTCATTTTCTTTTTTTGACGTGTGTCCAGAGTTATGCATCAATCCTCTACCTAAGAATCCCACCTAGTTTTCGTATCATACTACGTGGAAGTGATGTTGAGCACCACAACGTAGTGAATGATATGATGCAGACTGAGCAGATCACTTATCGACCTCAGTATGGTGCCGATTCATATGTTAAAGATTCAAACGTATGTCTTAGTAACAACTTAACTATATATACCAGACTTCTTCTAATTCTATTTATTACAAGCCAAGATCCACTAGTTAGAACTTATAGGCTACTTTTTTTTACAGATGTCTGCCGTTGTAGTTCTCGGATTCGTGAAGGACGCAAAACACCATGTTGATGTTCAAGGCTTTAACGTCTACCACAAAAATCGACTCATCAAGGTTTCCCTCTACTTAAAAATGGACTTAATATTCGCATGTATTGCTTTCTAACTTGTTTTTTTCATCAGCCGTTTTGGAGGATATGGAATGCAACAGGGAGTGATGGTCGTGGAGTCATAGGTATGTATCAGTTCTTATCTGGAAGTTAATAATAATGTCTGTTATTCGTTTACTTTACGAGCAGCTAATAATAATGTTAGTTTCTTCTGCTAATAGGTGTTCTGGAGGCTAATTTTGTTGAGCCTGCTCATGATAAGCAAGGGTTTGAGCGTACAACAGTTCTCTCTAGGCTTGAAACACGGCTAATTCAAATGCAGAAGATTTATTGGTCTGGATCTCTTCTCTTAAGATACACTAGGATGTTTGCAGGGCTTATATCGTTTCCTTTTTGATCAGGAGCACCAACTGTCACAAAATTGGCTATGCACCGAGGCGACACCCAAAGGCTGGAAACGACTATGGTCACACAAGTACAGTGTCTTTTTTAGTTTTAAACGTTTATATCAATCTGCAGTGAGATGAAACAATCAACTGAAATGTATGTTTTTGTTTTGTCGGATTGTAGACACATCACCGGAAAATGATCATGAGGAATATAGTCCATCAGGTGTCAAAACTCGAGGGTCTGACAAGTTCTACCAAAGTTCATATCCGAATCATAGAGGGGACAATGGTGTGTCAGGGAAAGATAGTTCAATGGTATATACTACTTTACAAAAAAAAAAAAAAAAAAACAGTTTTCCATTGTAATAGATTTTCATTTTTTTCCTTGGTGGTCTCAGTATTTGCAAGAGGAGCTGCGACGTGAGAGGGAGCGCAGCAAGGCACTTGAAGCTGAGGTATTATGGTTACTACTCTCTTAACATATTTTTTGAACTCCTTGAACAGTTTGATTCCATTCATGTGATTAATTAGGTTGAATTAGCAAGGCAAAAAATAGAAGAAATGAGTAAAGAGCAAGAGAATCTAATTGAGATATTCACAGAGGAAAGAGACAGACGTGATGTAGAGGAAGAAAGTCTGAGAAACAAGCTAGAGGTTACTCCCCATTCACTAAAACAAACCTTGATTCATTTGATTATCATATTTTTATGCTCACCTTTTAAATAAAACTTGCAGGAGGCATCAAACACGATCGAGGAGTTGTTGAATAAGATTAAAAATCTGGAGGGATCTAAAGGCTCGAGCTGGAGACGTTAGACATTGAACTTGCATAGTCTCTATTTGGTTTATGGCTCGACCTCCGACATGGGGGTTGAATGCATGTTGTAGATTAGTGTAAGTGTTTGATCTTATGATTGTTTTTTCTCATTTTTTAGATTTACAAACTGGCCAATCTCTAGCTGTAGCAGATGCCAGTTGTCATGTCTGTAATATTTAGTGATTACCATGTAAAAACCAACCAGAATAAGTAATAATATGTGCTGACTTGGTAGAGATCTATAATGATATTTTATTTTTCATGCCCATTGCTATACAAGAATTTATGTTTGTTTGATTTGATGCCAGGGTGTTTCAAAGTTACAGTCATTCATTCATTTTTTTTTTTTTTTTTTCTATTCAAAAGAGAGAAGCGTGTGTGATTAATAAGGTCAACTAGAGATGTATTCAACAAAATAAAAATAGAAATGAAGAAGAGATGGGCATGGGGAAGGTTATGTTAAGAAGCAGACCAAAGCTCTGCACAACTCTGTTGTATCAATGACACACCTTGTGCTGTCTGTCAATGCCAAAAAATTGCCTTCTTTGTAGTGTATTTATTGCCCATTCCCAGACAAAATATACTTGCTGGATATATTCTTTTTTCTTTTAAGTTCACTTTCTTTTTGAACTTTTCGAACTTGATCAAAAGAATATGCAAACAAAAAAAGCATTGATATTTTATTAGAAAACTCATTCATACTGGAGAGCAAATGCTGAAACAAAAAAAGAGTCGAGTTGTGTCATACTGCAACTTCTCTACTAGTCAAAATAAAAGTAAAACTCTCTCTGTTTACGTTTTATCGGTTTACTTCTGTCTGTTGGTTTGTCTTTTCTTTGGCCTTACGCTCGTTTATAGAATCGAATTTAAATGTTCTCTTTTCTCTTGTCTCGAAAATTAAAGTTAAGTTAGTCAATTTGTTTTTAAAAAGTTTGTTATTTTCTTTTCCAAAACTTTGATTATTTATTGTACAAATCCATTTCCGAGGTAAGTAAGTAAAAGTAAAACCATTTAGACCTATGTTATGATCAATATTCCAGTGCAAGTTTACGATGGTTCATTAGAAAAAACCTTAATTTCATTTTCATTTTCAATTGGGACTTTCAAACGCAAGTAAGAACAAGGGATATAGACGAGAATATAACCTTATTGCTCACGCCGTCTACTGTAAAATGTGTACAAAAAGAAAAACATATCATCATCGCCATCATAAATGCGAATAAAGACCCGTGTAAAAGAGACTCGTGTGTCTGATACTCCCCACGTGAGAATGTGACAATTAAATACTGTAATAATAATTACCCAATCTTCTTAATCTGATAAACAAAACAAACCAATCATTATTCCCTTCACACCCGCACACGAGGTCGATCCAAAGTTGATATTTGTTCAATTACGTTTTCGCCCTTATAAGGTTTTGGTCTATATCGCGATTTTGTCTTGGCATTTATCGACCCAACTGCTTTCAATGAACGTACTAGTCCATTTTTGGTTTGGACACGAGTGGTGGAATCACACAATAAACCATTCCTATAGTTGATAACGGTATTTTTCATTTATGGGTGTCAATCAAATATTCGAGGATTGCTACCACTCTATGTGGTGGTCCATTTATTTTGCATAGAACAACAACAAACCAATTAAATTTTTATAAAACTCATAATTTCCAAACCTAAAAAATATTCCGTACAAACCAAAAACAAATACTCCACATAAACAAAAAATCCATAATCTTTTTTTACATAAGTAGTGTCATGTATTCTTCATTTTTATTTACATTCTAAACCATAAAAATTATTACTATATGAATACAAGAGTTAACGTATTGTCATTGTATTAGTGCAAAAGAAGATATTTGATACTACTTTTGTTCATTATTCGAATACAATAAGTAATTATTGATACAAAAATCTTTTAGTAAGAAATAATTATGTAGTTATTAGCGAGATACTATACTATTATAAAAAAAATGTAACAGTCCAAAAAATGCTGGACTATAAATACGTCTGTGGTGGTTAGTCTGTAATGTAATGTAACATAGACGAGAATCCTCTCTCACACTGTCTCTTCTCCCACACTCTCTCTCTACACTCCTTCGTCTTCTACCTCGGTGACACCACTAGTCATCTCAGAGAGAGAACTCGTCGATAGATAACAGAGAGAAAAGGTTAGTAGCTTTCTATAATCCGCAACAGATTCTCTCATATTTCAAAATCAGATTAAAATAAAAGCGAGTGATATTTTTATCGATTTTTATCGTAGCTTACTGTTCATCGACATGATTGTTAACGAATACAAGTCACGTCGTGTGATTTAGATTACTCAAAAAAGTTCTTCCTCTGTTTTTTTTTTTTTACAGAGAAGACGAGAGTGAGATTCTCTTCAGTTTCAGCTTTCACGACGTCTGTGCTCATGAGCCGACGGCGAGTTCTGTTATCGGCGACGTTACTCTCGTACTTCCTTCACGGAATGGCTCTCGTCTCCGTCGTCGCCTCCGGTAGTAACAAAAACCCTAAAACCAAATGTCGATTGATTCGTTTCTATTATTCACTGATGAGTGTTAATGGTTTGATGTATTATCAGGCGTGGAGGAGGTTAGAGATAACGTGGATTTGACCAAAACGACGACGTTAACTACCTCTGCGCATCGGAAGATGTTACATCTCTCTCATGGTAAAGTTATTAATCCAAAAAAAAACTCATACCAAATCGGTGATTGGTTTGTCCTATGCTTTGATTGATTTTTTCTTTTACTGTGTTTGTGATAAGTCCTTTGTGAAAACACACACACCTTCCTGATGCCCTCATCGTCGTCCTTTTTTGTTCTGTTATAGTCACAGCGTCGTCAGTGTTTTTGCACGTCTGTGTTTTCTTGCTCCCTTTTGTTTCTTTGTTCGTTTTGCTTTTTTTTTTTCTTTTCCTTAAAGTGGGCCCAATTTCTTAGCCTCATGACTTGTCTCTCATAGAAAATACCATAAAACATTATCACAACGAGATTTTTTTTTTCCCAATTGTCTGATACATTTTTATGCTATTGGATGGAATTTAAAATAAACATTATTATTTGAATTTTTGAATTTAGTTAAAAACAAATTTTTGGGAATTGGTTGATGATTCTAGCTTCATGTGTTGACTGAGCAGACCGTAGACGGCGTACAACAGTAGATTTATCCAGCTGTCTCTCACTTTTAGCATTTTTCTTAAAATTTGAATTTTTTGAAAATTTGTGAAAATTTAGCATTCGTCTCTGTTTTTTTTTCTCTTTTAACAAGCAGAGACGAGAGCAGAGCCTGATAGGATCGGAGAGAAGTGCAAGAAGTCAGACATTGTGGTGAACCAAGCAGCGACCGAACCTATGCCCAACGGAATACCCGGTTACACTGTAGAGATCACGAACCAATGCATGTCTGGATGCAACATCTCGAGGATCCACGTCAGCTGCGGTTGGTTCAGCTCCGCTAAGTTGGTTAACCCGAGAGTTTTCAAGCGTATTCACTATGATGATTGTCTCGTCAACAACGGGAAGCCTTTGCCTTATGGCTCTACGCTCTCTTTCAACTACGCCAACACTTTCCCTTACCGTCTCGCTGTCTCATTCGTTACTTGCTCTTGAGAGTTGAGAGACCGGATCTTTTTCTTTCTTATATAGGATAAGATGATAGTAAAAACATGGCGGGGAAAAATTAAGGTACAGCAAGTATGATGATATTAATCATATTCATACCACACTCATCCTCTTTTTGGGTTATTTTCTTTCTCTTAGGATGTGAAATGTTTTTGAGCAACAATGATATATATATATAAAAGAATCTATCAACTTTTCCCTCCTCTATAAGCTATGCTCAGTAACTAGGGCTGATATTAGTTGCTGGTATGAACTGAAGCAAGCTCAAGTTTGTACCGGGTTCGGGTTTTATATGTCAGTCCTGCTCTTTACATATAGATTCTCACATGTTGTGACTTATTACTACTACACATTTCTCACTCCTTTCCCTAAAATCACCTTATTGTATAACACTTCATGAACATCAAAATTTTACAAACACCTCATGAATTCAAAATGTTTTTGGTCGCCTGGGTTTAAACTTTATTTTTTTACTTAAGATCTTTCTTCATTTTTGCGTCACCAACGATTGACCTCAAAGGGAATCTGTGTTATATATAGTGGCGTGGAAGGAATAATGAGTAGGAGTGAAGGCACAACTATCTTTTCTTTCATAGATACATAATTAATTAACTTCATCACACGGTAATCATTTCGAGCTAGAGACCTATACAACTTCCGTTTATTACAGTAAAGCTTTGACGCGAATGAAGTATACTAGATTGTATGAACAAAAACAAATAAGGGACGAGAGATGATGGGTACTTGAAAAGAATCTAATCATTTTCTACACATTCAAAGCTTGCATTTCCAGGTTATGATACTCCACAGCTTTGAGGGAAGCTTTACTTTTACTTTACTTTCTTTTTTTTGTTGTTGTTGTTGTTTTCTTCTGTACCTGAAGAGTTGAGAGGATGGTCTGTATGATACATGTCTTGCTCCCTTCACAAAATGGTGCATGAGCATATAACCGCCTTGGGTGCTTTATCGACCTTCTTCTCTGTTCAATAAAACAAATTTTTAATTGTTAGTTAGAATTCCTCAACATTGCTTAGAAATCACAGCCTTAGTTTCAGTCACATGATCAAACATTGTTTAAGTAAATCACTGAAACAACTGTTTATGGTTGAGTCGTTGACAAACAATTTTTGAGCCATTCTCTAGAAGGTCTGAATAAACAAACAACAATGAATCCAGGCTATTCTTTCCCTCATGGGTCGTGGCATCCCCTACTCTCCGAGCCAAACAAACCAAGTATACTGACCCTAGTCACTGACTGAGTTGTTCTGATGTACACTTCTTATCAGTCTTAATGTATGAATAGAGGCAGATGAGACAGAAAACGAATATAAGAAGCAACACAAGAAGTCTGACTATAAAGAGAGAATGTTTGACCTGATTTAGTTTTAGCTAGAGAAGGCTGTACAACAACATGCATCACAGTGACTCCACCTGCAGTCTCTCCAAATGGGTTCCTACACTGGGCAACAGTCTTGTTGTTCTCCAAGATCTTACCCGAGCTTATCAGCTTTACCTCGTTTATCCCCTTTGGAACTACTGTTTTGCCTACAAAAAAAATACACACATACACAAAAAGAAGCATTTAACCCAAATTGATCCTTCTTGATTGTAACTTCATTCAAGTGAACTAAATAACCATTCTACACCTCTAAATCTCACACCTTTCTACCGAAAAATAGTAAAATTCAGGGATATTCAACACGAATTTCGTAAAAAAAATTAGGAAAAATCGAAACTTGAGAAGCAATAACAAACCTTTGGGCCAATCAGAGACGACCCTTTGCTTCAAAAAATCAACAGTAGACGCAGCTGAGTAACGAAAGGGTCCGATGTCAGAGCCATCGTAAAGCCTAAATTTGATATCTATTGACTCCTCCTCCGGCATATCCGTTGACTTCTCCGTTAACCCAACTCCGATTCTCAAAAACCAGACTTCAACACAACTCTCTTCAGATCTGAAACAGTTCCAATCAAAAAGTAAGCATCAGAAGCTTACTTCGAGAAAAGGGATAAAATTAAAAGAGAATCACGGGAGGGAATTAAAAATACAGAAACAGTAGCTTTCCCTCTCTCTCTCTCTCTCTTTATCTCTCGATTTCGACTTGGGATCGTTGAAAAAGCGGAAGAAGAAGAAGAAGGAAGGAGAAAAGCTTTTGACGATTGCTCAAAGAGTCGGAGTCCACCGAATCTCAAATCCCCCCCAACGGTTTTTCACTTTTTTTTTCTTCTCTTTTCGTCGTCACTTCTACTTTTTCACCAAACCGACGTCGTTTATATATTAAATTGATCGTGGTTAAAACGGTAATGGAGTTGGAAACAGTTCCCACCATTTCTTCTATAAGTAGATAACATGATTGACAAACGTGTCTTTATTTGAGATGAAAAGTCATATATACATAAAAAATTATATTTTTTCATAATTGTGATAATAATAGGAAATTGCAATAAGAAAGAGGTTCATGTTTAAGTGCTTTCCATACAAGTTTAGACCAATTCCAAGTGTAACTAGAAATTATCAAATTCTTATTTACTTTGTCAACTTTTTTATTTATGTATACAAACCGCATTCTCCACACGCGAACTTCAGTATTGACTCCAGTTATGAAACATTAGCATAGTGCATCATTAGCATAGTTGTAAGTACCAGGCCCGGCTTAAAACATAAATGGGCCTTATGCCACATTTTTTTCTTCCTAAAATAATGAGTGAAACTAAAAGTTATTTTCTTAATTTGTGACAGAATAGTTAATTTCTGAATTTGTATCAAGTTTTAAAAACTTCACTTGTGATTGATTATGAATGATCAAGTACTTAAATTACTTTGAATATAAATTTCTTTTTTCATCAGCCAAACTAGGAGAGGATTCAAGTATTTATGAGTAGAGAATATCAGAACCATAATATTACAAAAACTAAAACATAGGTGCATACTTTTTGAAGAATAATACAATTTCGATATATAATATCGAAATAAATATGATGGGAGAAAAGACGAGGCAAAGCGACAAAGTACAATCTAGTGAAACACGACTCAACAATACATCATTGATAAAATCACTGATATAAAAAAAACTACTTATGTTTGGATTTGATTTGACACTTTCTTTTCCACCTGACTCTCTAAATCATCACCACCATTAGTTTGAGGTTGAACCGTCAACTCGCCGGAAACTGGAGTTGATGCAAGCTTGACCATATCAATGGTATGATCTGGCACCGTTTTGGGTTTCTCCGTGTCATCAGTTTTTGGAGCTTTGTAGTATTTGTATATGACGTAGAGAATCATTTGAACTGCTCCGAGAAACGCACCCATAATGTTTGGAAGCTATAGTCAAAAGAGTAAATCACATCAGTAATTCCATTAATCAACAGAAATAATCCCATTAACTTCCGACATATAAAAGAAAAAACAATGTAATTGTCTCGGTTTCTCTGACGCAATCATATAATATATGATTGTAAGCATAAAGCCAAAGTAGTGTACGGCTCAAATCATATATTCGCCTTCTTTATATAGAAGGAATTAGGGGAAAAGAGACTAATTTAAAGGTGGTGGGAAACTCTTTTCCCTTTAAACATGAACCAGCAGTAATAAAAATATCATGTATACTATGCTGCGTTGTCCATTATTATATACTTATTATTAGAGATTTAATATCATAAGAAAGAAGACTCACTGCAACGTAGAAGTCTTTGATAGCAAGACCGTAGAAGAGCCACGTAATGGCGCTGAGTGTAAGAAACAATGATAGAGAGAAGGGCATAAACTCCACACTTCTTGTTCGTATCACCACTCTCTGCAATCATTTTTTACTTTTCACATGTTAAACACTATAATATACGTAAACATAATTAAAGAGATGCTAATACTAGAAAAAGAAAGAGCTAGAGATATTATATTGTTCATAGGAAGTAGCATGGCTTTTTCAACATATACGTGTATGTAGCAATACGTACCATGATACTCAAAGGAGCTGCGAAGACACAAACGGAAAACCCGACGCAAATTCCTCCAAGGACCTTCTCACGGTTCGATGCTTTGGTCAAGAGCTCACAGACAAGGATAATAGCGGCAAACCCCAAGAAGTTCAAGAGCCCAAGAACCTTCAAAGTTGATATCTACATGGTTGTTTATATATACTATCATCAGCTAACTTTATATAAGTGCATTTTCTAATATACCAAAAGAAATGGTATGGTTTACACGGGCGTACTCTAGCTTTCTTGTTAGCATAGGTAATGAAGAGGATGATGTAGATAGTTTCAATGAAACATCCCACAGCATTTATGGTAATCAGAAGTAAGCCTGATCCATCTTTCTGCATAGCGTAGTAAATCCATAGCGTAGCGCTAAAGAGCGCTGATACATAAGGAAGTGACTGAAAACCTTCTATCGACTTTTTCTTGCAGATCCTCACAAAAGTTGGCCTTCATGTACATGAAAAATAATACCAAGAATATTTTTAAAAATTTATACGATAAAGAGAGAACAAATAAGAAGGTGAGTGTTTGAGATCGATGGTGCTTACACTGGTGCCAAGAAGACAATGAACGATATGATGTTGCCTGTAAAAATACATATAACAAAGATAACATGAGTGAAAAAATTAGCAAATATTTTTTCAATTAAAATTAGCAAATATAAATGAGTGAATATAGGGTATAGTTTACATTTTTGTATTAATTTGATGTTGTTGATGAATGCTTATTAGATACTTACCCATGATTCCAAATGTAAACGCCAATACGTTTAGAGCCATTTTGATTGTTTTTCTACTTTTGGTTGTGATTCCCGAAGAAAATGAAGGAGGAAACAAGAGGAGATGTTCAACTCTTGCTAGCTCTAATTGAGTTTTCTTCGATATGAATTTTAACAACGAGGCCAATCATACTATATATAGAGAGAGGGTTACACGTGTAAGGGTGCAGTGGTTATATGTTGAGGACGTCGTCGTTTTCATGGTATAAGAGTGAGAAGAACAAAAGAAAAGAGTGAGAAGAACATTGCATATTGATGGTCTCAGATATTTCTAAAGTTTTTTTTAAAGTGGAAAATATTCCATAATTTTATGTGGTATGCACTCTTGGCGTGTATTATATCTGTGTCAAACTTTTATGCCAAACCTTGGTTTTATATTATTTTCGTTGTTATTATGTTAGCTTTCTTTTTCCTTTAAACAAAAA